AGTAGGGGGCAGTACCCAAACGAGATGCTGCTGCCAAGATGATGGAGTTTCAGGCGTGCTCAGAGAACGTGCTGGTTAAACTCCTTCCACAGTTGGTTTAAGTTACTATGCTGGATTATTGCACAGTTGCACTTGCACTGCCACCGCATCTGGATCGACCTCTGAATGAAGGGAGGTGACCGGTCCCCTCCTGCGGTCGCAGCAAGGCTCTGAAGGTTACAGCTGTCAACACCTCTAACCCTTCTCTGGACTTGGACTACCAAAAAACAAGTCAAGCATTTAAAAATTTTGCTACTTTTGGAAAAATCAGGAGGTACTAAGCTGCCAACTTTTCGAATGGCAAAATTATGCTATCCTTTGCTGACATTAAAACTTCAGTATTTAACAAAACAAAATGACAACAAATACATTTATCTTGATCCACACAGTGTGACCAGAATGACACTGTAGTGCATAAGCTGCCAGTAACTCTCTGTCTAAATAACATCACAATTGCAAGATAAACTTAGCAAGATTAAGAAAAATAAGATACTTACAAGGCTGCTTTTCAACAGCATCGATGACCTTTTCAATTACATCTTCAAGCTCTACTTCACTGAGGGACTGAAGAGCTTCGGTAAGGTACTTTATAGCTTCCCTAATTTCAACGAAGAAAATTAGCTCAAAAAGCAATTCATACTAAATAAAGTTCATACAAACAGTGCCAATTTTGGCAGATGTGCACATAAGCACTAAATGCCTTGTGATTAAAAACGTAGAAATAATCAGTACTGCGTAATACAGTCAGACAAAAAATTCACCAGGACTGAAAACAGAGCATAGGAAGCACGTACAGAGATAGAACTTTGTTTTCATGTCCAAAGGGACCTCGGAGGGCTTGTGGTCCAGCCTCCTGCTCCGAGCAGCGCTAACTGCATGGGCTGCTAATGCTGTGCACAGTCCTGCTCAGGTTCTGCACATCTCCAAGGATGGAGATGTTACAGTTTCAGTGTCTCAGTGTTTAACTACTCTGATTGTGAACGTGTTTTTTCATGAGATTCACTGGGATTTGATTCCCCTGAGCCCTCTCAACCTGAGGCTGAACAAACCCAAATCTCTCACCTTTCTTCCACAGGTCAGGTTCTCCGACACTCTAATCATCTTGGTGGTCCTCCACTAGACCCTCTCCAGCTTTTTAATCTCTCTCTTGAACCGAGGGGACTAAAACTGGACAAGTGGAATTTATTTTGTTGTAAGCTGTGCTTGCTGCCTCTCCCTTTCCCTGTGCACTGGTCCCTCTTTCTCCCCAAGCCCCCTTTGGGCAGCTGAACATCGCCACCTCAGAATCACAAAATCGTTAGGTTGGAAGAGACCTCCAAGATCACTGAGTCCAACCTCTGACCTAACACTAACAAGCCCTCTGCTAAACCATATCACAAAGCTCTACACATATCACTGAGCTCCTCCAGCTTCCCCACACACCTTGAGCCCCTGCACCTCAGCATCCCAACCATCTTCGCTCCACCTGCGCCCCTTCACCACTCCCCCAATATCGGAGTTGTTTTCATTCAAAACAACACGAAAATTAAAAATCTACTTCTTCCCTCATCCTTAGACTACACTCTGGCCATTACAGATAACGATTTTCTTATTAACATCACCCGTCACCCCATCAGAGGTGGCATTTGGTTGATGGCCTCACCTTCCTGATGTCTCTGCTCATTTAATGGTGCAAAGCAGGGGCTCTGAACTCGGTCCCCTCACTAATACACTCACCAGGACCTTGCCCCATGATGCCAGGAATAAAACAGAACTCATATTTAGCATAATTGTGACAGAAGAAATAAAGGCAGAGGAGCCCCAGGCGCTGCTGTGCCACCTTCCCTTGCAAGCAGCACGCTCTATCCCCTCACTGCAGCCTAGCACACTGTTACCGCAGCCCTTTGGGCATTTAGAAATATCATTTCAGGAGACCCAAACCCTTAACTGCGGCTCTGGGGACTGCCAGAGCCGAACAAGAGCCCCAGCACCAGCAGGGCGGGCACCGAGGCCTGGCCCCGCCGAGCCCCGGGCGGCGCCGCGCGGGCAGCCCGAGGAGCTCCCGAGACGTCCCCGGGGCCGTGCCTCGGGTCCCCGCCGGCCTCCCCCCGCCGCCTCCCCGCTACTCACGCCCGCAGCAGGAGCCCCCGCACCCGGAAAGCGGTGCCCAGGCGGCGCCTCAGCCGCTCCGGCTCCATGGCGGCCGCGCAGCCCCGGCCCCCTCACGGTCCCGTCATGGCCCCGCCGCGGGGGGCGCTGCCGCCACATGGCCGCCCCTCAGCGCCATGGCCGGGCTGGGGGGAGCCCTGCGAGCCCCTCACAGGACGGGACGGGGTTGGTTTTTCCCCGATTTGCCCCGTTTTGCATTTATTTTCGACCTGCCCAGCCTTTAATAGGTCTGGATGGTGGCCCTCAGCACTGCCCGGTGGGTGTAGGGCTCCTCTGATACGGCCGCCTCACCTTTACCTGCGCCTCTGTCTGTGGGGAGGGTACCCCGCGATCCTGGTTCCTACTGTGCTGTAGCTGCCTCACCTGAATGTCAAGTTTACTAGGACAAATGTCGGCTGCCTCAAGGTTTAGGATATGGTAAACTCTTCGTTCTTTGGTCCATCACCCCACAACACTGACTGCCCATGGCCCAGCATGGTTAGACGGAGATCCCCTCCAGCTGGCTCCATCGTGAGCAACAAGCATACAGCTGTCCCCACGGCTAACTTTACATTTTACACATCTAACTTTACATTTTACACATCTAACTTTACATTTAACCAGGGAATTAGCCCTACACGCGATTTTTTCCTTTGGGAAAAGCAGTTGAAGTCTGTTGCAGCATACCAAATCCTGGTACAGAGCACAATAAATGCGCCGCACCTCTTACGGTTCCAGTCTCGTGGGGCAGCTGCCTTCTCTCCAGCCAAAAAAATGGTTGGAATATTGGAAATTGAAATATTGAAATTGAAATATTCTCAACCCCATCCGTCAAAGTACAGCTTTGCTCCACAGAATGCTCAAAAAGTAACTGAAAGTTCCTTGATCAGAAGACTGTAGGGATATAAAACCAGATAAAAAATATCAGCCTATTTTATATAGTCCATTCTTGACTGCGTCATTTATAACCAGTCCTCCTCATCTGGAGGAAGCTCATGGGTGAAGCTGAATCTATCTACTCCCTTTAGACATAAAACTACCATCTGACAGGTTTCAGCTATTTTGGCAGGAAATACGATTCAGTTTTTCATTCTAGGCATGCAGTTAGGTGTGAATTATGAACCCTTATGTAAGTTCTTCTATTTGCTAAGATTACTGCTTTTTCTTCTTTAAAAAAATCTAATTTGTCAATCAGCTCATGTCTCACCTGGAGAAGGAAGGTAGCCCTCTTCTAACAAAAGCAATTCTTTTAAGATACATGACCAAAAACAAGAATGTAAAGCATACTCCTGTGGCACCATGCAGTACTTGGGGTTCTGCTAGGTTGCCTGGAGCCTCCCACCAGAGATATAAAAGTATTCCAGCGTGAGCTGTAGACTTCTGTTCCACTGAGCCATCTGTCTTGTGCTCTGGAAGCCATGCCCAGCTCTTCATCCCTGCTGCTTTTCATGTCCTTTATCTGCAATGACTTTCTTGGACATCAGCACTAGGGTGTCAGCACACGTGGCTTGAGAGCAGAAAGCTGGCTGAGACAGGGTAATGGTTTAAGATCAGACAGCACATCCCCCTCATGCCAAAGGTGAATTGATGGAATTGTTTTGTTACACCAAGCACGGTAGATAGCTCATCGTTCATGTCTGTCACTGCTCCGCTGGCAAAAGCCATGGGCTGCTGACTTTGCACTGCTCCCGAGTTTTCTGAGAGATCACGTTGTAGCTCTACTTGACCTATAGATTATAGACACAGTTTGGAAAAAATAAATCTTAACTCTTTCAAATGTTTATTCCTATGTTTTAAACATAATCCTAATATGTCATCATTACATTTCATGTTGATATTAGCAGTCACTGACAGGAATAGTTAACATCTTCCCTTCTAGATCAGAGAAGTGTATCTCACTTTCATGTCCTTTTACAGATGTTAGAAGTGCTCAGTTCTCAGAAGCTCTATTCTTCCTGAAGAGCTGTACCTGCTTTATTTTGAATTCCACTCATTCCAAATTGATCCATACTTCAGCTGGAACTCACGGGGTTGTCAGTGTGACAGCATAAGAGCTAGAATAGGAATGTAAGAGGCTATTGCCTTTCCCAGTCTGCTGCATAATGCTAGGCAAATATTTAGGAAACAAATATATAGGTGGGGACAGCAGGGAGTGAAGAGCTCTTAAATAGAGACAAATGTGTGGTTTGACATGATAGATGAGCTGCTGGGATCCCAACATCACCTTTATTCTGTCAGTTACCCATAGCTCAGCACCAGCCCCAAAACACAGGCCCTAAGTGGCAGCTCTGGGATCTGCCACACCGGTTTGTAGCCTCGCTTCATCTGCTCCAGGTCAGATGGCATTCACAGGATAATTCTTCCTGAGGTCAAGAGTTTGAACTCCTACACAGTTGTCTTAATTAATATCAGCCACTGTTTCGCAGGTGCTGTTTCTGGAAGGGACACATCACATCTAACCAGCAGGCAGTGGCGTGGCTGTCCTAACCCACCTGCCATGTGGAGCTGTGTTTGCAGACCCCCCTCTGCCTTCCCCTCTTGCCCTGGATCTATGTTCAGGTGCCCTATTTCCAGCGCTTTCCCCCTTCTCTCATAACCCTTCTCGATAGGATCCTACACGCTTTACCAAGCCCCCAACCTCCCGCTTTGTTTCCCCCGTGCCTCAGCGGACAAGCACGGAGCCCTGTGCCCCCCAGCAGCCTCCTCGGAGCCTCGTTCCCCCCCCCGGGACCCCTCCAGCACCGACCATCCCCTCAGGGCACCCTGAGGCGCCCACCCCACCCCGGGGCAGGGGGCGGCGGCGCGGGCAGCCCGGTGCCGCCCCACATTTTGGACCCTCCTCGCTTCCCGTCCGCCTGCGGGCAGCGAGCGGCGGCGGCGAGCCGCAGCCTCTCCCGGAGGAGGCGGTGAGGCAGCGAGGCAGGCGGCTCCCTCCTCCTCCTCTTCCTTCATCCTCCTCCTCCCCGTCCTCCCCCTAAGATGGCGGCAGACCCCGCGGAGCGCTTCTGCGTGGCCGAGGAGCGGAGCGGCCACTGCGCCGTGGTGGACGGCAACTTTCTCTACGTCTGGGGGGGCTACGTGGTAAGGAGGGCGAGCGGGGCTAGGGCGGAGGGAAGCGACAGGAGGGGACGCGAGAAGCGGGGTGCAGCCAGCGGCGAGCCCCCACACGGGGGCTGAGGGGGCGCCGAGCCGGCCCCCCCCCCGCCATGCCTGCCCCCCCCCCCCTCAGGCAGCGCTGTTTACCTCAGCGCGGCCGCTGATTGGCCGGCGGCGTGGCGCGCGCGCCGCGGGGGCGGGCGTTTCAAATGGCCCCCAACGGCCGCCGCGCTGAGGGGATGGCGGGGGGGGGGTCCCCTCACGGAGCCCCCCCCCCTCCCCCCCCGTGCTGTCGTGGGGCTCGGGCAATGGTCTGGGCTGAATGTTTTTTTTTTTTTTTTTGAAGGGTGACAGCTGTAATTGGCGGCTGTGCCTCACCCTTACGTAATCGCGGCGTTTTTGGGGCGTTAGTAGTTGTCTGACGGAAAGGTGTCTGGTGCCTGTCATCAAAAGATCGCCACCACTAAATGCTTCTGACTCCTAGTTCTTAATTATTTCAGTCGTAAACTACAAATGATGTTACACTACATACAGCCGATTTAATCTACAGTGTCTGCACACTGGGCATAAAATGTGAAAGTCACTGTGTTTAGTCTTACTCCAGTTTAAATTATGTTTCTATTACATTTTCAGTTTTTATCTCTATTTTTTTCAGATTTTTTTTTTTGTGGGTTAAAGTAAGCTTTTAAAAGTGAAAAACCTCTCCTGTGCTCAAGCAGAGTTCCAGTTGGAGCATCCTGGGTTTAAACTTTAAAACATGGCACATGCTGAGTGTAGGCAATAGCAGGGGAAGGGACACTCTTAGGGCCCTCAGGTACCACTGCCCGATTGCCTCTGGTCTCTTCCTGAAGTGCATTAGGGTTTGGTTTCTGGAAATCAGAATGTTCTTTTCTTGGAACTAAAATATTGGGCTTGAAAGATGGGGCAGAGCCGAGCAGCGTGTGCAATTTGAAGAGTTTTTCTGCTCCTGAGCTGGATTCATTTCACCTGAAAGGAGCTGTGCTGCTGGTGGCTGCTGCGAGGCTGAAAATACAGCCCCCTTGTACTGAAATAAGAGCCCTGAGCTGTGCTGGGAAGCCAGGCAGCAGCTTTGACTGCCAGGTATTGCAGGGTCTGGCTACTGTGTTAATTTACCCTGGCACAGCCCTTCTTGCCCAATACCAAACTGAAATTGAGGAACCTGTAAAGTATCCTGTAAGCTATTTCTACAGCTTTCCTTCACTTGGGGACTTTGCTAGGGGGTGTTTCCTGAATACCTTACAGTGTCAGGAAGTTAACCACCTCCAGAATAGGCATATATAAATAAACGTGAATGAGCTGTAATGTACAGGAAGTTCTAAAGTTCTTCTCTGGCATTAAATTCAATAATAGTCTATAGCTATGCAACGCCTAAACCACTGGAAATATTCAGTACTTCTCTGTGCTGTAGCCTTAAAGATTGGGTTGACTACTGCAGTATTTCCAAAGGTTTTCTGATAAAGGATTATAGGTTCCTGGCACAGACAGAATACCACGTGTGTTGAGTTTTGGAGATAAAACTACGAAACTCATACACGGGGTGTATTTACCTGTGTACTGTGAAAATCAGTAAGTTAATCTTTAAGCAGTGCTTTACAAAGCCAAATCACGTTTTTACGTGTTGTATGCTGAATGGTAGACTGCCACCCAGCTAACTTACTCTTGGTATCAGTGTTTTTATTCCAGGCTGGTTCTCTAGCAACTACTTGGCCTCTTACCACTGTTGGGTTTAGATTAAGCGTAGTGGACTTTTGCACTTTCTGAAGTGTGCAAGCTGCGTGTAGTGGCATAGCCTTCCTTAGGAAAGGTACCCGGCAAGATAAACTAGAGCGAATGAATTGCTTGCTTGCCTAATTGGCACCTCTCAAATTGAGAAGGTAATAATAAAGGCAAGTAATCAATATCAGTAATAAATAATTAAGCTTCAGTTTTGTTTATAACTTCTTTTCCTCACATTGATTTCACTTTTATCTCTGCTTTTGTTTTCTTTATTTGGTTACCGTCTCTGGCTGCTTATTCCCTTAAAGTGTTTCGTTTCTTTCTAAGGCTAAGAGAATAACAACATAATTGTCACCCAGCTGGAGTTCTGCAATTGCATTCCTTCAGACTTCCTTTTCCTTTTTGTTATTCTTCCTCATTGTTATTTCCCAGATTGTTTTTATATAGCCTCTTTCATAGCTCTGTTTTTCACAGAGGAATTAGGCTCCTCCTGATGTCCCTAACCACCTGCAGGAGGGTGCCGAGAGGACGGAGCCAGGCCCAGAGACCCCTCCTAATTTAAAGTATCCCCCAAAACAAAGATAATGCTTTCTGAATATCGAAATGCTTATCTCCCTACCTCTAATTTACAAATAGACCAAATTTAATTTCCTTTTAGGGCACTGTGATTATAAAAAATAGTGATTAAGTCTACTATTCGCAATCAGCAAAACTCAATGACACAAGGACTCACCTAGCACAGGATTTTTAATAGCTTCGAAAAGTAGAAACATTGAACTATTTTGAACTTCCAGTATAAATTGTAAAATATTTAAATTATTGAGCTGCCTGCTCATAAAGGTAACGATCAGAGCAAGAGTGCTGGAGTATGACTTATGCTCTGGTAAGATTATCTCCTTAAGAGTATTCGGAGTTGCTAAGTAACGTGATTTGGTATTCATTTAAAAATGTATGGTGTATAATGCATAATTGATTTAACATTTGCGATTTTTTTTTCCATTTTAGTCGATTGAAGAAAATGAAGTGTATTTGCCTAATGATGAGCTCTGGATCTATGAAATGGATAGTGGGTTATGGTAAGTTAAATTATTTATATTTGATTGATAAATAAAGTTGATATTTGCAGAGGTTACAATTAGCTGCTGTGTAAAGGTTTCCTTCAGTTACATGAGCTATTGGTTATGTTCCTTGGCGTTAACATAGCAAATGTTTAATATGAAGACTGAAAAACAAGCATACATATTTGGAAATTACTCTAGAAAACGTTAATTTTGTAAGTATAATTGTGTTTTGTTTTTTTTCCGGACAGATGTTTGAAATGGCCATCTCAGGGCTCTGTTAGAATAAGCACATTTTACTTGTGCTTAATTCTCCATATATCAAATACTCCTTTTAACATTAAACACTAGGTAGTTGTGTTGTTGATCTATTTACAATTATATGTATTTGTGCTATTATTTAACTGTGTATTTCTAAAAGTAATTCATAACTATACAAATCTTGCATATCGCTAGCAATTTAATCTTTGTTTATATTTATTGTGTTTACATACTGTATGGGGGGAGAGATTAACAATGCTTCTGTTTTAAGTTTTCCAATGGTTTTTATTACATAATTGTCTTCAGCCTAGTAGAGCAGTATTCATTTAGGTTCGTATGTGTTTTCTGCCAGCTGTCTAATCTCCCAACTGTTTATGTGTTCTTTGCATATCCATAGTCACGAGATTTCTTTTGAACCTATATTAAAAGCAACATTTTGAAATTGAGGAAAAAGGGGAGGAGGACTAGATCAGGAAGGTGTCTTACGTATGAAATTCCTTATCTGTTCAGTCAAGTCACTGACTTTGAAAACAACATTTTGCCTACAGCTAGCTGAAAACAACATTTTGCCTACAGCTAGCTGTGCAGTTCTAGCAAGACTTCATTAGTGTTTTGTTGTTATTTTTGGTGGTTTGGGTTTTTAAGAGTGTAACCTCACTGTCTTTTGACGTCTGTTTCTTTTGGTGAAAGGGTTGGCTAAAGCAACCTCATACCCTTTCTTGTTCTTAACCCCCTGATGTCCCTGTATCAGTTGTCCTGGTACAGCTCTTTATATGGTCACATAGGAAATTGGATCGGGAAAGAGATCTGAGTTAAATATAACCTTTCTTTTTTCAGAGCTATTTTTAACATGGATCAGTTCTTGAACTCATTCACTTACAGCACAAAAGTTGTAAGCATACAGCAGAACACACAGCCTGACACAGGAATGAGCAGGAGCAGAGAAGGGGAAGGTGGTTTTGCCTGTGGCAGTGCTGATGCCAGAACAAAGGTATTTGGAAGCAGAGCCATGACCTGCTGTTTGTTAGCACAGCTTTCAGTAAGGACAGGTTACACATGCATCATTCACATCTGGTGATTAAGGACATAAACAGCTTTTCCTTTTAAAGGCTGCTTCCAGTTCTTTTAGGTTGGGATAAGGTCAAGAGTCAGAACTGAACGCTGTAACAATCCTTCTACATGGTCACCAGTGCCAGAAGCTGAAGGCATCGGGTCTAAGTGCAGGTGCATCAATGAAGGGAGTGAATGGAAGTGACTGCTTCAGAAATCTGGTGACGTTACACCTGGCAGAGAGAAGAAAATCTGGAGCTAGGCTTTGAAGGTGGGAGACTGGGCTAGAGACCCAGGTGGAGAGCTGAGAAGTAACGGGAATGACAAGGGAAGGGAACTTTGACCAGAAACTGTGGGGTGAAAGCAGTTGAGACTTCGGCAGCAAATCTGGAGAACAGAGTTGGAATGTCAGCACTGGGAGGCTGGGATCTGGCTGGTGTATCTCCAGAAAACGAAGGTGTGGGGACAAGGTGTAAATGCTAAGAAAATTCCATGTCCTCTGGCTGTGTACGTGTGAGAGAGGGAGGGGTAGGTCCCCGTCTTCTGCAGAAATTCGAGCTTCTAGCAAAGCTGCTTTCAACGTGGAGTAATGATGCTAAGCACAGGCTTGGCCTGGTGCTCAGCCTTGGGAGTTTGGCAGAAAGTGACTTTGGTCAGCCAGTTGCATGGCGCTTCCGACCACGTGGTGTTAGGATTTGCACCATGGAAATCACGGCCTTGTACGTGCGGCTAGCAAGAAGGTTGGGACTGCTGATGGTGGCTGAAGAACGGAGCGCTCATTGCTGTAACTGGCATAATTGGAGCTTTTTTATGGTGCTAAATGCAGTGCAAAAGGCAGTTTTAGAAGTGACGTGTGACATAGTACCAAAACCAGTGAGTACTTGTGACCTTTATTTCTACTTCAGTTATTTCTAACGTAACAGCATTGCTGTATTCTCGTTTCAGGAGTTTTTGGAGTTATTGCTAATAACATGTCCAGTTTTTGAGTAACTACACTTTTAGCCTTAATAAAGCTCTTTTACTATGAGATTCTTCATAAATGTATACGCAGTGTTCAAGCGAAAATACTCTTCTACTACAGGAGCCCAACTTAATAATTCTCCTCCTAGTTATGGCCAAAATATTGCAAGTGTATTTTTAGCTTTAAGTGCAAAAATTATTTATACCTCTATTTATACCTCTATACTGTGCTTGGAAACAGCATTGTAACACCTAACGTATGTGCTAAATTGCAGGACAATGCACCTAATGGAAGGAGAGCTCCCTACCTCCATGTCAGGAAGCTGTGGAGCAAGCATTAATGGGAAGCTGTACATTTTTGGTGGATTTGATGATAAAGGATACAGTAATCGGGTATTGTATTCTTTTGTTTTCTTTCACAAAGGATTGTATTTGAATGAATAGTAATGCTGACCCTATTTTCTGAAATAAGGAGAAATTTAAGGAAAATCTTTTAGTTTTGTAGACGAAATGTACTTTAAGCTGACAAAAAAAGTTTAATTTCTGTTTTAATGTTCAACTTCATTTATTTTTCTGGGAATTTTTGTTGAATCATAGCTTCAGAACCGGGCACAGAATGTGAAACTTTTTATTTCTAAGAATTGACAGTGTTTTCCTAATTACTTTAAAAAAAATGTATTGTCAGCCATAATTGAAATTGATCTCCTATATCCCTTTGGTGATTACCTTTCTTACATGGCCAAGCAGTAATTAAAGTTAAAATATAGCTACTGGATTTCGTAGTAACCAAAGACTGAAGTAGCAAAGTCAGAAGTGCGCTATCATCTAGTGTCAGCGATGTCAGGCTTCAGACTAGAAAATAACTGAGCTGGAGCTTGCAGTCACATCTGTTCAGCACTCCATTCACAAACACTGCTGATTTCTGCGTGGGCGTTCTCTTCAGGTTAGGCAGAGCTACTGCTGGTTGGAGAATTGAAGGAGCAGGGTAGTATTATACAGGTCTGACAGAGGGAAGGCAAGGAAACTGCTAATTCTCACGTTTTAACTGTTCTCGTGGTGAATCGGACTCTTCCCATATGCTGCTATGTATCGTAAATTTCACTGACAGTTCCTTTTTTGTAAAGGAAGTAAGTAGCATATTCTGGGGGAGGTGGGTTGTTCTTTTTGCTGCTCAATTGTGCCAGATTCTTCAATACCATTTATACTGAGAATGTTGTATTTTTTTTTTTCTTTTCAGCTGTATTATGTTAATCTGCGAACAAAAAATGGAACCTATAGGTGGAAAAAAATCACAAATTTTAAAGGCCAACCTCCTACACCACGTGACAAGCTTTCCTGCTGGGTGTATAAGGACAGGTAACACATTAAGAATATTTAATATATGTTGATTGCAGAGAGGCCATACTATAAAGTGAGGAGAACACAGGTTTGTGATTCACAAAACTTTAATTCTTAGCTTGACTTACTGTGGGATTTTGTGCAACTTTCTTAACTTTGTACCAGAGTTTTCTCACATGTAAGCTGAATTAATGGTAAATATAAGGTGGCTTTGGGAGAGAGTTAGGAAATTCAGTGGAAGTTTCTGGAATGCTTTGAGACTTGAGGTGAAACTTGTTATGCACATATTACCTATGTTTTTAATTTTAACGCACAACAAAAAAAAATCAGTATAGAAATGACATTGAATTTCTGTTGCGTTATGGACCCATTAATTATTTCATGCAATAAAATATATTTTAGCATTTGTATGCCTTGAAAAATACACTAACAATTACAAGAACATTTCAGTGAGTATTTTTACATTATAAGAACCAAGTCAGGCTAGATACGTGTTGTAAAAGTTAGTCAACATACTTAGGAAAAAAGCTTAGTCAAACCTATTTTAGGTGGCAGAGGGTAACAAGCATAACCTTTTCATTTAACAAACATATTTGGAGACAAGCTATGCACCTTTGTAGAAGTATACCTTAAAAATTCACAAGGTGTGAATTTGCAGATCAGGATGTCTTGGTGTATTGCACGATGCTTTCAGTAACTCTGTTTCCCCAGGAATGTGTCTGGAATGACCTGCACCATGCCATCAGTTCCTAAATTGCCTTCTCCCGAGATCACTAACAGCTATATCAAATATCCTCAAATGTTGAAGTTAAACAAAACTTTAGGAACCATTACTTGTGGATGGCCATTTCGTGGGTGGAATATTAGGCTGGGAGGTGTGTAACGATACTTGCAATGCAATATGTTCAGTAGCACTTAGCTGAAAGAATCTCTTCATAAGCTTACAGAAAGCAAGAGGAAGATGTTGTGAGTCATAGCCAGTGAGCTGACCTTTGGGAACATTTGTTGAAAAAAGCTTAATTCAGAAGTCTAACAAATATTGTAGAAGCATAGGGATGTTACTGTTGTGTGTAGTGCATCATTTTGACTCATGTCTGAAAATGACCGGTGAGCTTGGGGATGGAGGAATATAGAACAAGGGCTTTGAGGTACCTTGAAGCTCCCTCCTTACTGAAAAGGGTTTCTGTCAGGCACATTGAGAAGTGTAACAATACCACCTTCATGTTGGTAAGGTTTTCTGTATGATTAGATATAGTATGAAATATTTTAATTTGTTTTATATACAGTAGGTAAAGCAATATTTGAGGCTAATTATTACAGTTTATTAATATGAGTTCTATTCTAAAAACAGCTAACATCTTCTTTTTGTTGGTGTTTTAGGCTAATATATTTTGGTGGCTATGGCTGTAGGAAGCATAATGAGCTGAGTGATTGTTTTGATGTCCACGATGCGTTTTGGGTAAGAGATTTGCTACAATTCAGTGTTTTGTCCTTTCTTGTCAAAGCACGATCTGTTGTACTATGCTCAGTAGGTATGAAGAATCATGAGAGCTGTAAACTTGAGGCTTCTGCTTTGATTTGGAATTTCAGGTGTTGCGTGTTGCTGGGAGGTGTTGGGTGTTCAGTGTATTCGAAGTGCTAGACTTTGAATGCAATGAAACAAAATGCTGTCAGGAAAAACAAATGCAATATTTTAAATCTGAAGACCCTTTTCTTAAACACAGAACTCCCAGAAGATTTTAGAATTGCTTTTCTTGAAGTAACAGAAGGGAATTTATAGTTTCACAACTCTAACGGACAAGCGCTCTCAGTTAATTTCCTTAATTTGTTAACCAAGGTAAATGCCATATGTTTTAAGATGCCTGGATTAGCTAGTTTCCTATAATGAATTCTTACTAGAAAGAAGGAGGCTTATTAGAGTCTTTTCACATGAATTAATAGGTATGTATTTACGGAGTCCTGACCCTTAACATCGAATGTTAAATATTGACTTACAAGAAATGTATTACCTTGTACAATCTAAGTGTTTAATTCTTAGTATGTTGTGGCATGATGTAGGCTTTGCCTACCACAGTGACTCATTTGGGAGCCCAAAGCCCATTTTCGAGTGTCATTATCCCTCATCCTACCTCCAACTAGACCTGAGTTGCTCTATCACTTTGAAAATGTTAGTGTATTTCTTTATTTAAAGTTCTGTATTTTAGTTTATTTTCTGTTTTGATAGATCACTTGTAGGTTTGTACCCTTTAACAAGCACAAAGATTTTAAAATAATGCTTTTAATTTTTTAACTTCTCTTTCAGGAAGGACAGATATTCTGGGGATGGCACAATGATGTTCATGTTTTTGATACAAACACACAAACTTGGTCTCAACCAGCAATTCGAGTGAGTGTTCTTTAAGTCTTATCTTTTGAGACAATTGTGACCTTCCTGCATTTTGAATAGTTACTGAGCTCTCAAAATTCATGGTGGGACAAGTAATTTGAAAATGCTTCCTTTTCATTGTCTTTAACATAGCACAGGAGGACACTCGATGAATCTGAAATGTGGAGAATTCAAGATTGATGTCATGACTTTTTTTCTCTACAGGATGTAGACTGGTGTTTGTTCTATAATGTGGTTCTGAGCCAAAACATAAAGTAAGCTTCAGAGAGGTATTTGACATCTGGATAGATTAGGAGGTGATGCAGTATCCTGTACCTAGGAGGTCAGGCTTTGTATTTAGGTTTTAAAGTACATGTTGGGAATATGAAATTCCCGTCAGCTCTCTCTGTTACTGGGAAGCCAAGGCACTGGCATGCTCCATGAAACCATTCAGCGTGACTCCCAGAGCGGTGCTGAGGAGCAGGAGGTATTTCAGCAGCTCCTCACAAAGGCTCCATGGGCCCTGCTGAACACATTCTGCAGGCTGGTTGGGAATCCCTGTGGGGTTTGCCAGTATCTTGGGTTGGGAAGAGTTTCTTGGCTGGAGCATGGCTGTTGACCCACGGCACATCTCACCTAGCAAAGGCTTCCTGGAGCAAAGCAAAGGTCTGTGGGCAGTGTGCAGCACAAACGTACGTGTGGTTTTAATCATGCCAAGCTGAATTTAACCAGTGTCCTCCACCTATTTTGATACAAAGCTATTTGGTTGACTGCAGCTGTGTATGTGAACCTCTAACGCTGATAAGCTATCACAGGTAACTGGGAGTTGACCATATACATGTGGATTTCTTCCTCCCTTCCCACCTCTCTCCTTCTTCAGAAAGCTGATAGGTCAGTGTGAATGATAGCTGAAAGAACAGTAGTGGTCTTGAACCCTAGTCTCTCTTGATTCACTGTTCAGCTCTCACAGAATTAAAAAAAGATTAAAAAAATCTCCCTATATTGTTAGTTTAGGTCTTCAGTCTTTATTTGTGAAGTAAAGATGTATGTTTAGTGTGATGTATGTTTAATACGCTCATTATTTTTGTGTTGTGTACATGCAGTTGCTGTATTCCCTTCAAGGGCTAATGTTGAAAAATCTTTTAAACAAGTATCTACTAGTCATGCAATCTTGTTAGAATAAACAGACCAGATATTATTCAGTAATACATTACTTTAATAGTCTTCCAAAGGAGCATGTGTACTCAGTTTCCCAGTGAAATAGCAATGCACACATCTTTATGTACTGACATTAAACGTGATAGTGTAGTGTAGAACTTCATAAAATCCTGGGGAGCTTACAACTCAGTCGAGCTGTATTGCAGTGAGGTCTGACACTGTTTTATGCTGTTTATAGGCTGTACTAAAACTCCTACAAAATTAAATGCAAAAAAAGAAATTACCATTGAAAAGTAAAAGGCAGTTTTGCTAGCTTTATTTCTGACTTACCCAGGGAAGACTTTTTAGCCTGTGGCTGTTGCATGTTGCATAACAACTTAAGATCTGATTTCTAGAGATTTTTAGTACCAGTTCCTGACAGTTTGTGCTTTGGAAAAATAAAGTGGCACAGGACATACCAACAATAACTGATGTGTTATTTTAATTTTATGCTTAGGAATTAAAGATAAATTAATTGAATTTCACTTGAAAAAAGCCTCGATGTCTTAGACCAAGAGGGAATACATTACACGTTAGCAACTGAGGAAACTCAATTAAAGATTCCTTAGCAATTATGTGTATCTTCTAATGGCTGTGGAATTTTGGACATGACTATAAATTATTTAATTTGAAATATGAAAAATATAAATGTCATTTATTGGTTCTTTCAGGGTGGAGATCCGCCTCAGCCTCGAGCAGCTCATACATGTGCAGTGCTGGGAAATAAAGGTTACATCTTCGGAGGACGAGTGCTGGTTAGTGTTTAATTAAAACATTTTATAGGTAGTAGTTTAGTAGCTGATATTTTTGTTCATTTTTGTTTCGCTTTTCTAATTGCAAATTATTGTTGCAGTAGAAGAAAATCCCAAGTGTTTTTGGCCTAACTGGTATGTTTAGTAGTGGTGAATTCAGGATGCTGTCTTTAATTCCTCTGTAGGAAGTGAATTTCTTCCTTAGAAAAAGAAGATTCTGTCTTTCTGGCTCTAGTATTTACAATGAAGCATACTTCGTCCCCAAAAGGGAAAAACAGATGAGGAGTAAATTTACATGTTTATAAATCAACAAAAATGGTTGACCTCTGTGTAAGATCTGTAGGAGATGCTTCTTTCAGAGTGGGGGAAAAGCAAGCCCAATGATAGATCAGGTTTTTATAAATGGTGAGATGCTAGCATCATATGTTTAGTACAGCTCTGCAGGTTTATAGATCCCTTAAAGAAATGGTAGCAAGAAGTAAATACAAATAGGATTTTAGCTTGTGATTTTTATTTTTTTCTTAAAGAAAGGGGAAATGTGTAAGAACAGTCATTTCTCACATACACGCCTCTCACCTCCTGATTTTTACCTTCTGGGAAAGTAAAGTTCAGAATAGCAGGTTTGATACAGTATTTTAGATTTATAATTGCAACGTGTGGTCCCAAAAGGTAGGAAACAGCAGATTTCAGTTGGCTTTATAATTTAAACTTTTTTTTTTTTTGCATAGAAGTATTTGAAATACACTCATGCGGACGAGCAGCGTGTGACTATAATGTCTGGATGCAAAGCCAGCGTCTCCGTACGTTGAGACTGGTACAGGGAGCTGCAGCATGTTACCTGATAGCACAGGGTACTGCAGCCACCCGTTACTTAAGCCTCTCCACTGCTCTCTGAATGCCAGTTTCGCAGTCTCAGTCTTTACCTTCAGCATGTTCTGTGACCTTGATAAAGAAAATGTGGAGCATACTGCAGAGATTGCTGTTGGCAGCTCTTTTCTTTGCATCCCATAAGGCTCTTGACCACAAGAGTAAGGCTTGTGTGTACTTCCTTGATAACTGATCCGAAGCTGTACCCTTTAGTACATTATTGGAAGATCTTAAATCTGTTGCCCTGTAGGTAATTGAAGGCATAAGATCTGCATCATATATAATCAGTGCATATATAAAGCAAGAATAGATTCTTGCTATGTAATCTTAACTCTTTTTTTTCTAGCTTTTTTTAACCTAAAAATGAAAAAAAATCATAGGTATCATCCTATGGTTGTCTGTACCTAACAAACCTGAAGTCATCACTGGAAACTTGGGAGATACCAAAACCTCAACATTCAATTTTTGTAGCATTGATTAGGGGAAGTTTTCTCTTTGTTCTGTGCTAAAGCATTAAATAAATGTGAGAATTTCAACCTGAGGCAGCAATTCAATATAAAATTTAAAAAAAAAAAAAGTATACCTACTTGTGTCTTAAAATAAGACTGGTAGGTAGTAGGTAATTTTAACTAGAGCAGGCTCTACCCATGAGCTGTAATTTTTTTTTGCCAGTGTAGTTTTGTTATGGAGTGGAAAATGTACCAACTCTTTTTAGAACGGTTGCAAAAGCATAGGTAAGATAATATTCTTGTATGACTTTGTCTGAGCTGGAATTTATGAGGAATGCGAGAAGCAGATTCTGTAAGGCAAGTAAAAAAATAATGTAAGTTACTGTGTACTCATCCATATTTTTAAAAATTGTTATGGTTTTAGCCTTTTTTCTTTTTTACCTACAACTGATTTGTAGCCTTTAATCATATTCAGCTAGCCGATGAGACTTCGATTTCTACATCTACTGCTATGAAAGTAACAGTGAAGGTGCTTTTGAAAGCACTCAGTGCTCTATTTCTGTATTTTCCTATATGAAAAAGGAGTTAACTGTTGGTTGGAAATGTCCTACAACGAACATACACCAAATTCCTCTTAGAATCTGCCAAACCTTGTATTCTTAAGGTATGAACCTTTTTTCTGAAGCCAAGTTCCCCGTTTTTTTAAGCTCTATTACAAAAGCTCTGCAGTGGTGCAACCTTCTTCTCAGGGAAAGTCTACAGTTCTGTTACAAAACAGCTTACTCCTGCTTGCTCAGACAGAAACCAGACCCAGACCAAGGCAGGTTGAGAATGCGCGCACCAGCAAATACCCAGCCAGTTACTCAGTTTGAATTGCTTCCCACAGCTGCAGGAAAAGTTTTTACCTAAGTAAAGTTTTACCTTTTCAGAGCGTTCAGAGAAGAAAGCCACCAAATTTGCTCCTGTTTATCCTAACTGGTCACGTTGCCCTTGGTACAGGCTCACAACCTCAGGATTGTTGCTAAAGCCCCACCTCAGGCTGTGACAATTGCACACGGTAGCTTCCAGAGCTGTAGGTTTGGTCAAACATATTTGCAAACAACCAAGGAAATAAATGGGTAGTGGAAAAGACTGACAAAGTATCTGGTTTTGATCAAACCCTGTGTGTCAGGGTGAGCCATGCTGGGCTAAGTGAGCTCCGTGCTCCTGCTATAGACGTGCTGTTTGATGTCTGCTGTGTGAATGAACTCTTGCTAACCACAGCTGACCTGAATCCTGCCTCTCATTTAGCAAGCCCGCAGATGTGAGAGGGAGAGAAAGCAAACGTGAAGAACTAAATGTGCAGCTCAGGACCTCCTGGCCTACCATTTATTTCTGAACGCTTCCTCAGCCTTCAAAGCCTCGCTCCTGCTGGCTTGCTGTGAGCGAGGGCTGTCTGTGTGGTGCAGACGTCTTCACACCACAACAGAACAGCACTGCATGTTGTGCCCAGCCGGCCAGGGTTGCTGCACTGTGCCTGTTGCAATTGAATTGCTTTATAACCCAAGCCATGATTCCCATGCAGCCTCTGCTACCTGCACGAGAAATTATTAGTAAAACTGGAGCTCACCTGTGATCCCTCCGCTGTGCTGTTGCATGATTAGATGTGCCCTAAGAGGACGTGCCCTCTGGCTTCTAGTTAACCATGTCTATTTGACAGCAGGGTTCAGAAATACAAGAAGGCTCTGAGCTGAAAAGGTTTTTCTCTTCCTCAGGTAGCATCTGCTTCCTTAATAACCACTTGCTAAATTTCAGTGAAACCACTTGGGAACAATATGAGAGAAGAGTGAAATTTTGGAAAGCTGTATTTAGCTTTGTAGGAGAGCAGCAAGTGTAGTTTTCACCTTAGTGATACCCAGTTACTGATTCACTTTCTATCCTAGAAAAAAAAGGAAGGAAAGTTACAGAGGTTAGGGAGCATTCAGTGGGGCCTGAGGAGTTAATGTAAGTCGTGAAGCAGGAAGGAAAGCTAAAGACATCAGAAAAGGATTGCGTTTCCTGACAACAAGAGTAATTCCTCCCCAGAGGATGAAGTCTTGCTTTTCTCCGCAAATTAAGGAGCAAATACGGGGTTGCTCTGCTCCTCCTTCTCCTTCTAGTTCACCATAATACAAATCTTCCCAGGGAAAAGGCTCTACAAGGAACCAGAAAGGGCCAGGAAGTGTCATGAGGCTTCTCCTATTCATCTTTCTGGGAGGAAAGGGCACCTTTTTCCAAAGTTGGAGCTAGAGCTGGTAAAAGAAGATGATGATGATGATGATGATGGTGATCAAAATCAATTGTACCAGGAATCATTTGAAAACAGGCTCAGAAGTGTTATGTGGACTCTGTTCCTCCAGGTAAGCCCCTGACAAACAGAAATGGGAGAAAGTGGGAAGGAAGGAAAGTTAGTCCAAAAGTTGATGCAAGTCTCATGTTTAAGTGGAAAGTTTTCATGTAAAGAATGAAGTAATAACACAAAGTCTTTTCAGCAGCTCTTCACGCATCCGATGCCTTAATGTATGCATGTTTATATTTCTTTTTATCCTTCCTGTCACTGAAGATAAGAAGATAGATTGAACTGCAGTCCTTCTACAAAGATCTGCGTTGTAATAGCTGTTTGATTGTAAATCTGAGACTGGAGAGCTGCACAGAGCAGTGATCTGTAAACATGTCACCCGTAATGCCTTTCATCATGCCAGAAAGCTGGTCCCGAGACAAAGCAGATCCTGGTTAATATTTACTGGGCTGCAAATAAATGAACATGCCATAGATAAGAAAGATGTCTTTGGAGTCCTTGTGGCTCAGACGGAAATGCAAACGCTCTTACAAGGCTCAGTGCTTTCAAGCCAGCTAAGAATCAATCTAGGATCATCAGCTAAATTATTGAATATAGTAGGTAGCGTTTATGGTTACAGGAGAAACTGCGAGCAAATTGTGCATGTGGCAAGTGATGATAGCCTGACCGGGCCTTACAGCTGCCCAAATAAGGGCTGGGGAGAAAGGCATTTTCATTTGTTATTTGTTAGAGGACTGAATCTTAGGCAGAAATGTCTGACTGATGCCGAGTTGTGAATTCCAAACGAGGTGGGTGTCATTTCTCATCTGTCAGTCTGTTGAAATATTAGCATGTAAAGATGATAACGCATTGATTTCCCAGGGACCAAGGAACTGAAAACTACTCCATCTTCCGCCTCATGCCTAGCTTTGTAAAGAGAGGAAAGTCAGCTAGGAGGTCTTGAACAGCATCTTCTTGAAACCTTAATTTCCAGCATAACAGCAACTCGCTCTCCTCCCTGTCTTTAATCAATGTCCTCTGTATTGAGCTGTGTGACTCCGAGATGATGAAATGTTTGCGGTTCTGGGGGCCAGGATGTTGTTTATTTTTCCCCACCCTATCCCCAAGTGTCTGGCTGTGTACAGGTGCAGCAGAAGATACTCAGTAACCGCCTTTTGCTTTCTGCATGTATGATTTGTTCCTGGTTTCCTTCGAAGCAACCTGAGGGAGCAGGAAACTGGATAGACTTGTCATGGAAGGCAGATCAATCCGCTAGCTGTCAGTTGGACCATATTTTATTGTTACATTCACCCTCTTACGGGAGTAAAGTTTCTCAGGCAATGCACAAAAGCACTCACGTTCTGCTTTCCTTTAGCCTGCTGCCGGCTCTGAAGGCATTTTTCAAAATGCCAGTTAACATCATCTTCCCTAGGACAGAAACGGGCTAGCACTTATGTGATCAGAGGAGGCCACAGCTATCCCGAAATCCTTGCGGTTCCCTGAAATACACCGAGAGACCTTCCACAGCTCAGCTTTGGAAGTCTCTCAAACTCACTAACTGGCTGAGTTCTCAGGGACAAAGCTACTCCTATTCTGACTTAAATGACAAGTCTAGTTTCTGCCTCAGAGGATCTGCAAGCTGGAGAAAGGCTTATTCTAATAGATCTATGGACTACCCTAGGAGAAAAGAAATTGTAAGGTAAGGCAAGCTATATTTCCCTACTTCTCAGATACTGTTTAGTAGTACCTAGAGGAATCACAGCTATCAGCCAAGCGTATTGCAAGCCGCTGAAAGTATTGCTACCATCTAAAGCAAATAAATTTTCGTATATTCTCTCCCCCCTGCCATGTTTCCAAGGCAATTACTTTCCTCACCTCAAAACACAGGCACATATGCAAGTGTATCGATTTCCCATTCTTCTTACTGATATGTTTTATTATTTCTGTGGCAAATGCTAAAGGGTCACGGAACCTTAATGTTGCTAGTATTAACTTTCTGAAAGGGCTTGCCATTCAGAAAAGACAGATGTAATGAACTGCTTGAGGCCTGTCATGTACTGAGTACGCTGTTTATTAACATATTCCAAGAAATCAGTGAGCAGGCAGCCAGGAGGATGCAGAGTCAGGATCAGAATGCAAATAAAAATGAGAGAAACTGCGGGTAGAGTACTGAAATGAGCAGTTCTGCAATTACCCACTGCAGGTTTTGTGGATCGAGATTCAGTGCTTTTCCAGGAACTGAGTATCACAGTTCGTCACTATTAAGCTACTACTAAAGAGTAAAACTGGCCCTGTAGTGCCATTGCATTACTAGGAATGTTCTTGACAGGTTATTTTCAGTTGCCTGTTTTCTTTGTCGCTTTTTTTAAGAAAAAATGTTTTTTCATGTGCTCCGTAGTACAGAGTTGTTTTAAGGCATATGGGTACAGTTTTCTTTAAATTACTTTTACTTAAATGCTCTGTCCTATGAAGGCCTCACTGAAATACTTTGCTTTTTGTTTGCTTAATATAACACAACTGGGATTTTATTTTTTATTTGTAGCAAACGAGAATGAATGATTTGCACTGCCTGAATTTAGACACGTGGACTTGGTCTGGAAGGTAGGTTGCCCTCTCTGATGCTTAAAATTGAATGTAGCACATTGAAACATGCTGTTAAATAGTTCCAATTTTAATTCTGTATTTTTTCCAAGAGGAGAATGGGAGTTTGGGGACTTCAACAGCTGTTACACTGTGATTTCGATTGAATTTAATTTGATAGGGGTTACCACGCTTTTTCTGTTCTGCACCACAGCATTGTTAATGCTATTTTAAGCACAGCATGTAGTGATTTAACATGCTCATTTCCAAGACTGGTACATTTATCCATATGGAATTTTAGGTTTGATGTCTTTCTGAATACTTTTTTTTTTTTTTTTTTTTTTTTTACTATATCCATATATTGCTCACTGTGGACCAGATTGAGGAAAGATATTTTTTTTTTTCCCCTCTCAAGCATCTTTTATTTATTTAGGTAAAACAAATCACCGAAATATTTCAATTTTAAACTAAATCAGGTGTTAGTGTACTTGTTCAGGTTTGCTTGTATACATTTATGGCAGTGCTCACTACACATATAGTCAGTGGCTGTATTGTTCACTGGCAGACAAAGCAGAAGACAAGCAGAAACCAGTGGGTGATAACCACTGTTCTCTTCCTGTCCTCAAGGTAACCTAGTAGTAATTTCACAAAAGACCCCAAAATGCAACTTCCATGAGTATGTGTCAGTACTCATCCTGCTCCAGAGCTTCACACAGCAATGTTGGGCACCTTTCTCACCTGTGACTTGCTGATGGGTTGTACACCAAGTGTGTTTCTCTACCCTCTGAACCAAATGCAGAAGGAGGGAGCAGGCAATCCTCCACCTATTCCTTCCCACTGCTCATGGCAGCAGGACGAGGAAGTCTCACAAGTGGCCCTTCAAAAAAACTTCTCTTTGGAGGTTTCTTTAACTAGCACTTAAGATTAAGTAATCAGTTTAATTTCCCTTTTTCTTTGCTGGTTGTTTTTAAATGAATAATGTGCTGCCTACGTGATAGCACTGTCCCACTTAGACTGCAAACTTTGCCTCCGAGTGGATTGATTATTCCAGTTACTGGATGCAACTGCTTCCTTTTTTATTTTTTAGTTGTTCCATGAACTGTTGGTGTTTGACTTGCTTTGTATTGCTTTAAAAAAGGAAAGCCATGACAGCTGAGTGACAAGTCAACAAGAGGAACTTCAGGCCTTGAAGGAGATGTGTCAGTGTTGAAGTTCGAAGTCCTAGTCAGCCATACGAAAGTTTGCATCTGTCACATTGCTATCTATTCACATTTTTGCTCCAGACTGCCTTTGCACAGATTGCTTGGAAAATGATCTCTGGCCGCATGCTTCCTTTCATAGAGTCAATAGCGGTGGCTGTGTTAGAAATGGAGCATTTGTGGGGATCATCTGCAATACCAAGAACTTGGTCCCAAAAGTCTGATGACTCCACGCAATGCAGAATAAGGCAATGTGGATAATCAGGTTGAACTTTTTTCTCTCCTTTTATTACTATTATTTTTTTGTTTCCTAAGAATTCTACTTTGTAGATTGGCTTGGATGAAACTTCCATAGCAAAGAAATATTGGCTGAGACCAGTGAAGTTAGGTATTAAGATCTTGAAATAAACCAAATCACTTCATATCCTCTGAGCTTCAGGAATAGACTTGAATAGTTGTCATCAGACAGTCTATTTCCAGCTAAAAGCTGCCTCTTAAGAGCCCAGCATTGCACAAGTGGGGAAATTCCTTCAGAGTTTTTTGTTATTAGTGTGAATATTTTCTGCTGTAGGTGCTTCTTGCAACAGCCTTTGCCTTTCTTACGCTATAGCTTCAAACTCCTCTGATGTGATGACTAATGAGAATTTGGACAAGTTGCAAGCTATTTGATCTTGATAACAGAATTACCTCAGCCATTCTGCAGCTGCTGTTTTGGACTGCCCGTGTGAATTACCACCAGATGAGGGTCAAGCATTTTATATAGATTTACAAGTTTGGCTCTCTGAATGCTGCCAGTGTTTGAGATTCTGTTGTAAAGTCCGGATCTCCCAGCAAGGAGGCATTGGTTTGCACAGCACAACAAATTCACTTGTTGAATATCCTCTCCTTAAAACAGAAATACCAAACGTAGTGATGATTTTATTTAAAGCCCCCTGGCTTTTCATTAACTGGTGTGCTGTAATGATCCATCACACACCCATTTCACCAGGCTGTTTTCCCAACCAGCCATATCAAGTTTTTTTCTTCTTCATCTCTATGTTGATTTCTCAAGGAATTGCATCACATTAACTTATAAATCCAAGAACACCTTCCAGCATGGGGTTGCGATATTGTCTTTTCAAGCTCCATATATTAACTGTTAAGCTTCTTTCCAAATACTCTTGCATTACATAGATACAGCTTTCACTCACCGATTTGCCAACCAGCACAGCAAGCAGGCTGTAAGCTGGGGGTCAAACCTCTCCTAGAGATAATTATCATTGCAAAAGAATTGGAGGAGAGGAGCCCACCTTGCAGTCACCTCTCAGGTTTGTCCTCAAACCTCCCTGTTACTATTTTCAAAATCTTAACCAAATATACCCAGTGTTCATGCTGCCAGGTGCTTTCACAAATGCAGCATCTGCGAAATGTGTTGAGTCCCACCCAGGAGGGTACAGCCCATGTCTGTTTTGCATTGCTAGCTGTCTGGCATCGAGTCAGGTGCTGGGGAAAGTTGGCAGCACATTGCTTTGTCCTTCCTCAGCCTTTTTAAGTGCTGATGTACTGCTGCTATGTAGGGAAGGCCGGGGGATTGGGGAAGATGTTCTCAGGCATGAGCTGTCCCACAGTGAGCAATCTCCTGTAGCTAGAAGGGGAGGAGGAGGACAGGGTCCCAGATGATGAATACCCCAACCATGGGCTGCCAAAGTGAGGTAGAGGTGGAGGAGAAGATTTCTGCCACCGCCCAGAATTTACATCATCTCCCCTGAGCTCCACCAGCCTGTTAACTGAAACGTTCAATATTATGGTATTTCTGTTACTGTGATCATTTGTGGTATCAATTGTGTGAAAGATTCAAATGCTCTCACCCATCAGTTTCTGGTAGATGTTTTTCTAAACATCAAAGTGTGTTGTATCTTGGCAGTCTGCCTCTTTTGCCAATTTCAGAAGTCTCTTATACAAGAGTTGTGCAAAGCAGGCATTTAAACACTGTCGACTTGGCTCCAACTTTCACGCCAAATTTAGTAGGACAGTTTTGCAATCAGTGTTTAATTAGCAGTGATTCTTCAGTCTCTGCTTCCAGATGGGGAACTGCTTAACAGTCACCAGTAGTGAAATTCCTCTAACAGCTGCAGCTGCCTGTATTATTCACTCCAGGCTTCCTCTGTGCTCAGTTAAGAGAAATAGGCACTTCTCGGGCATGACGTAACTGCTGCTAAGGTAGACAGATGAAAAAAAAAATCACAAGGAAATCACAAGAGCACAAGTTGTGCTCTTCAGGGACCTGTTTCTCTTCATTGATTGTAAAGAAGACACAGATTGCTGTCTCTGCCACGTTCACATTATAGATTGAGCACACATCTGTGCATGTTACATCAACCCCTCTTCAGCAAAGCGGGGGAAAAAGAAAGTATCTAGAGATACAATCTGTGTGAACCGCAGAAAAGTCCTTTCTACACCACTTGGGGTCAGTTGGAGACTGTCCCTGTAAGCAAGCTGATTGGTGTTCACAGCTGCTCTTTTCCTTATCTTTCCAAAATCAGGACATACCTAGTGTGTGCTGGCCTAGATTCTGTGTGTCTGAGTTTAGGTACTTTTACAAAAGAAGTTGCCTCTTCGGTTAGATCGAGATATTAAGTGGTCTGATGCCCTCTGGAGGTCCTTAGTTTTCTCTGCTAACTCTTGGGATCCATCAGAGACAGCTGTACACTGAAGAGCCTGAACTAAATGGCGTGAATTCAGGCTACCCTGTATCCATCCCTAATGCCCAGGTTTTTTATTGTTCAGATTCCCATCTCCAGTATATGGAATTGTGTGACTAAAATCCGTAGATAAAATCTGGAAGAACTAAATTTTTGTATTGTGACCAGAATTTTAGAATGGTGAACCCACCCCTGTTTTGTGCTTAGGTATTGCCCTTTTTACTAACGTTTTTCTCAAGGTTTGGATGGCCTCACTTCTTGAACATAAATTCAGATTGCTTGAATGCAGCTTTTCCGCTGGGAAAATATCCAAACTTGTTCAAATACAAACTAAATTAACTACTACATTTTCTGGCAGGTTCATTTTCATCATTCTTTGAAATTTTGTTTTTGCTTATTTCTTTCACCAAGAATTAATATCAGTGGAGAGAAACCAAAAGATCGATCATGGCACACATTGACTCCGATAGGAGATGACAGACTCTTTCTTTTTGGTGGACTGAGTTCTGATAATGTTCCTTTAAGTAAGTAACTTTAAAATTGTGATTCTATTATATGCTTTGGTGCTAACTTAATAGATTTTGCATGTTTGTTGTTTTTCAAAAACTGTTTAGATTATTTAAATCTTTTACAGAATTTTCATGACACTTGAGTATTTCTTGAGCGATTTTACCTTTTAAAGAAATGTAGGAGCACGTTGTGCAGTACAATGATAACATTTAATGATCAAACTAATGCTCTTTAGTCAAACTGTCCTTGATTTGAAAGGATAACGGCAAGAGTGTCTCACATTCAGATATGTGCAGAGGATAATTTTTGATCTTGTTACGAATTGCAGTTAGAAGATTCAAATAATGTTAACATAATATAATTTTTTGGATGAATCATGTCCACAAAACACTAGATGGGAAGTAAGGTGGTCTTATTATGCTGTGTTCCCTTTCTAGAAAAGGCAATCTTCTCATGACAAAATATGAAAATAGCTTTGAGTGTCACAGATACATTACCCTGGGAGGGGACAGTTTTCAAAGGGACGTTGACCTGCTTTCTAAGGGACATCGACCTCCTTTCTCAATAAACCAAAAAGAAAAAAAAGTCTGTGTGTTTTAATTCCAGATTTCAATCCAGCAAGCTTTTTGTAACTGAATGGTTAAGTTTAAATTGCAAAGGTTGAAAAGATTGACTGATGTTTTTGTTATCTTAATATAATGTCCTCTTAGAACAGAAAGCTTTTGTATAAATAAAAAGAGAAGGTAATGCTTTGTCCAAGGAAAAAGTACTAATATATGTTCTTATTTACAGGTGATGGCTGGATTCACAGTATTACAACAAATGGATGGAAACAACTTACCCATTTGCCTAAGAGTAGGCCGAGGTATACAAAAATAACACTGAAATTTAGACATTTCAAGTTAAGGAATTCTAAATTAAAAAACGGTGTTTTAAAACTACATTATAGAAATACTTTACAAAGTGAATGTGGCACGATTTAATAGTTTGCAGTGTTTCCTTACATGCCTCCATACCAGCTGAGGCATTATTACTTTGTGTTTGTTACAGCTGATTCTTACTTTCTTTATGGTGATTATTTGCAGTAAGAGATTCTGATGAAGGATCTGGGTGTCCAGCTAACCTGGTGGTATATATCCAAATGATTTTTATATAAGAAATGTATATTGCTTAACTTTTGAGGAATTTAATAACCAAGGAAAATGGCGAAAATTAATTAATGTTAATACATTTTTAGAAACATGCAGAAGACAGCAATGAAAATGTTGATGCACATTTTGGGAATTAGAAATAGCTGCTGTGTTTTGTTTTTTTTTTTATTTCTCTGGGCAGAAGCAACAAATTATGATTACAGTTTTGCAAACCTGAATTTAGTACTAAACTACAGTAGCTAGATTTCTGTCTTTAAAAAAAAATAAGTTGCATGTTCTAAACCTGGGCATTATTTGAAAGCTGCCATTAAAAACAAATGCCTGCTGTTTCAGAGTACAGCTTTTATTTTTATCCCAGTCTTTGCAGCATTCTCTGTATTATAATGTGAATACTGTTGAAATGAATGGTTGTATATATTAAATATTCAGTTTTTCATGGAGTTCACTCAATATATTCATCCAGGTATTCTCAGCACAATTTCTTGCCATTCTTTTAGTGTATGATTCTAGTCTGACATTTGTATGCTTCCTGCCTTATGTTCTGTTTTCTATTACTGAAATATCCTTACGTCATTGAATTTTCTTCTCATTTTATTCTGTTCTAGGGCGTTCTTAAATATAGCAGCCACTGTTAGACCAAGATTTCTGCTTTCGTATATTTCAAACTATTTCAAGACTAAATAAACTCATACCTTAGGTTCACAAAGTATTTTATTTTATGATCAGTGAACTGACAAGTGAAGACTGACTGCCTTAAAAAACAAAGCACGTAATTAGCAGTCACAACTCATACCTGTCTTCCTGTTCAGTTCTTTATACAGATGGTTTCCTAAGAGTTGACTGCCTCCCCTCAGGTTTTTAAGTTTTATCGGTGTCCCATGAAAAAGGACTGGGAAGGGACAGGATGTGCTCTCCTACAGGCAGCAGGCCAGGGACCTGCAGCTCAGCCTTTACTCTGTAATTACACTGGGATAATTCGTGCCTCAGGTGGTGGTGGCACCTGCCTCGGGAGCCCCACATGGCTTACAGGCAGTTTGAGGGCAGATCCCACGCCAGGATACAAATAATAACCTCCGTTTGGCTGTGCTGGCAGGAGACTGCTGTGCAAGCCCCTGCCTTGCTGCTGCAGAAGCACAAAAAGGGGTCCCCAGACTGATGCTGATACCTCGGCTGGGGACTCAACCGCACACGCAGCCCTGACCCTTCTGGAGAACGGAGCTTTTGGGTTCTGTGCTGATGCCAGTCGGCTCCCTCAGTCCTGCATCTTGTTCTCTGCCATCTCTAGCTGTTGGTGTGTGCTTTGGTAGGCTGAGGTCAGGTGCCTTGCATTGAGCTAAGCCTTTAAGGCAGTAAATGCCCCCCCGCCACTGCCTTCCTTTTTAAAGGAAGAGAATAACATTTTTTCAGGAAGTTTTGGAAGTAAAGGTAAAAGGAGCCATACCAAAAGTCTGTCTATATACTGAATTAGTTTGAATGAGTATGAAGTACTTGTACCATAATTATGGCCCTACACTTGCAGGGGATTACTGCAGACAAAAAAAAGGTTTAAATCAGTTCTATTGCTCCCATGCTTTTAACAGTAGGACTTAATATGTAATGGCAACAATACTTAGTGTATTTTTATAATAGAAATATATTTAAGTACATATCTATGTATCATATATGCATTAGTATATTTTTCCCAACGCTTCTGCAAAATTGATTCTCTCCTTATTTATTCTCCTTATATAAAGAACAATTCCTTTAATTTCCTTCAGCCTCCCGTTTTAGGAATTTCTAATAAATTGTCCTCCAGGTTATAGACCCGTAATTCTGGTAGAAAATATTTTTTTTCTGTCCATAAGTCATACTTCAGAAAGTATTTTGCATACTAGCTTGATATACAGAACAAAATGTGTGTTTAATGTACAAATCTTAGTGTTTTCATTACAATGTAATTCTCTTAATCTATATTCTAGTTAGAAGAGCTGTATAAGAAGTTTACGTTGATTCAGCTTCTGTATAATTTAAATAACGTGCTTTATTAGAATGTTTAGGTGATAAGTTAGAGCAGCTGTGAGAGGACAAACTCTGTCAGTCTGTAGAAAAAAGCATCAGGTTGCAAGCTAGGATGTCAACAAAATCAAGGCAGGAAAGGCTCCCCAGTGTTCTTCGGTGACGAAGTCCAGGCCAGAGTTTTCCTAATGCAGATAAGGCAGAGACAGATCTATCTCCAGGTATGAGGAAGAGAAAAGGGTGGGATACAGTTTAGCTTAAGGAGAACAGTGAATAATAACTGAAATGAATGGAGTAAGAAAGTGAAAGCATTTACTTCTGCATGAAAGTTCTAGCTGTGTGTATTTTTTCATTTAAGTAAACGTAAAGGGCCAGAGCTTTGGTGATAATCATCTTGTGATACTTCAGTGGTGATACACCAGTAGAAAAGGAACAGACTTTGATCTGCTGGCAATAAATCAAGCAAGGTGTAGCTACTGAAGCAGAATCATTGTTCTGGCAAGATTATACAAATCGGGGTTTTGGGTTTTATTATTTCATGTACAATCTGCTTTTGTATGTATGATACAAATTACTTGTGGGCATGATGTAAGTAATTGGTGCACAGAAAATGATCCCCGTGAGTCTTCGGGCTTAGAATGAAACTGCCACGAAGTAATTGGTGTGAAGCTCTTATCCTGGTGTTCAGGGGCAACAGTCTGTACTAAAAATCCTGCAGTCTGAAAGCCAATAGAATTATAGTTATGAATTACAGAAACAGTGGATTTTTTTACAGGCTGTTTTTGGCAAAAGCACGCTTTCTTAACTTTTCCACTGTAACATTTTTTGTGCTACTGATAAATAAGACAAGGTATATATAGGCATAATACAGATAGGTCAAATAATGACAAAAAGATACTGGTCTGTATGGAATGTAACCATTCACCAAAACTGTCATGAGATGGATAGTCACATTGCTCTCTCCTTTTATATTGTTAAAGAATTGAATAATAACTAATGTATTATTTTCAGATTTGAAAACCTTTGAAATAATGTCTTGGTTTTCTAAAATGTAGGGGTTCCATTAGAGTACTCTGTGCATGTACATCTATCTCTTTCCCATGCACATTTGGAATCAATCAACCTATCTTAGTAATATTGAACAAATTAGAAACCTCAGAGATGCTTCACAACGTAATCTTTGCAAAGAAATGGTCAAACAGAAAAGAGAGACTCTCATAATCACTTTAGTCCTTTAAGGCTTAGTGCTTACTAGCAAAGACTGGGAGGTGTTCCTTGAGATACAAATTGTTAAAGAACAGCCTGTATTGTTTCTGCACCTCACAGAGCAACTTGTAAAACAAATTATTTAAAATTGTGAAATTCTTCTGGGTAAATAGTGTGAGATAATAAGACTTCAAGTCTCTGTGCTTAAGTAGTGGAATCACAGGATTTAGGAAATGTGACCTTTCCGTTTTAATTAAAAGGATCATATATCCTCGTAACAAAAGTTCTTTGAAAAGAAACTTGAATATGAGTAGAATGTAGGAAAGTCTGTGTGAGGTAATTAATACATGAATAATATATAGTTATTAGAATTGTTTTGCTGACAACACACAGCTGCTTCTTGTTATTCAGTCACTAACCCTATTTACAATTTTGTTGCTAGATTGTGGCATACAGCCTGCCTTGGAAAAGAAGGAGAAGTGATGGTGTTTGGTGGAAGCAAAGATGACTTGCATTTCATGGACACGGTCAGTAAACTGAGTAATGAAATCCTAGCACTACAATAATTAGAGCTGAAATGAAGTTAATGCAGTTGTTGATATTATTGGATTCATTCATATCATGGTATTGTGAAGATGTGACTTTAGGTGTTCTGAGAATGTAATTTAGGAGGGGGTTTTCATGCCTCTTTTCTTTAAAAATAATTATTTAAATATCCACCGTTTTAAATTATGTATGTGGTAATAAATGTTACATTAATCCAGAGAGTAGCAGTATTTCTGAGATAAGCTGTTTATCATTTTAATGTTTGTTTTCCTCTCTCTTTATCAGGGTCATTGCAGTGACTTGTTGATATTTCAGACTCAACCTTACTCGCTTCTCAGGTGAGTGGAGGCTATCAGTACAGGCAGTCTAAGGGTAAATTGTTGTAGCACTATGCTTTTTTCATGCACAGCTTTTAACTATTTAATCCCATGTAGGCAGGTAAATATAAAATCACCTTCTCAGTAAATATTTGAAACATGCAGTTTAAAACATGCATGACAATCCATAGCAGTTTAAATGTTGGCATTGTATAATACTCTTCTTGCACATGCATGCACAACACATGTAGTGACCATCACAAGCAGCTTTTATTCAATATTTTTTGACTTTAGGTTATAGACCACTTACTTAAATCTCCTTTTTTTTCTCTCCCTCTTCCTCAGGTTGTGTCTTGACTGCATCGGTAAAAATGCAGCCCTCTTAAAAAATCAAATACCTTGCTTGCCATCCAAACTTCTGCAGCAGGTGCTGAAAAAAATAACCTTCTGGGCTGCAGTTAACCACCGGCAAGAGAAGAAAGCTGAAACTGAACGACAATGTCAACTAAACACCACATGAACAATGGCAACGAAACTGTTGAACACTGGTTTATTTACACTGTACAGCAAAGTCTTTTGTTAGTGAACTTTACTAATGCTACAGAGCAACAGTATGTTAAGCTGAGTTTCTAAGTGAAGTTTGAGAACAAAGAAATCCTTTTTATGGAAGTCTTTTGTTTTCTGCGTTATAGGAAACTGAGAAAACTTGATTTGTATATATTGTTAACTTCTGCTGTTGTGGTCTTAATGAGACAGTCCATACAACTTGTTCTTTTTGAAGGTGACATGCCATAAAAATGTTTTCAGTTGACCAAAATGTGGCTTAAGTCTAAAAACTTAACTAGAGCCTTATCACATCAGCCTTTCTGAAAAAAATAAGTTTAACACCATCTTTGGAAGACTCAGACTTGTCCATCCTGAAGAAGGTAACTGGAAGGTAACACCACCGAATCTTATTATTTGATTCCACCAGACTCTGTCATCTGAGTATGTATTCAAGTGACGGAGCTGAGCATCGTACCCACCCCATGAAGGGCGATAGCTGAGCGGGGGACTTGAAGAGCACTGTAAGGAGCAGCATTACAGCTCGCATAGGAAAGCTCACATGCTGCTCATAATGTGGTTTTGCTATGTTTCTGTAATCAACGAGTCCTTTTTGAAATAGGTTGTATATTGTATTTTGGATGTGTAAAGTTTATATTTAATTCTTGTTTAAAAAAAAATGCTTATTTATTGTTTAAAGAAGAGCATATGTAGTACTTGCTATTTTTCTGTTTCGAATACCCAGTTAACAGGAGCACAGTCATTAAAATTTTATAGAGTTGGAGACCATTTTTGACTGGTTTGGACATTTTTACGATCCGCAAAACCCGTTTGATTGGGGGGGGGGGGGGGGGAGGAGTCTTCGGGCTAATTTATATCAGAAAAGGGAAGTTTCGTGAGTGGATGTTGGAAAAGAGACGGCATTTCGCATGTGCTGAAACTGACGACTATTTACTGTTAGTTTGGGTGTTTGGGGGTCTATAAAACCCCGGTATTTGGGCCGAGAAGGGCTTTGTCGTGTTATAAAAACACCTTAAAGCCGTTTTTTTATGGCGGGGGCCGGCGGGGCAGGGCCCTGAGGGCGGCGGGGCCTGTGGCGGGCGGGCGGAGCGGAGCCTGCGCGGCGCTGACGGAAGCGGCCCCGGCGGATGCTGGAGCTGCGCGGCCCAGCAGAGGCCGAGGGGGCCGGGGGGCAGCGCCGGGAGGGCTCGGCCCTGAGGTAACGGGGCCGGGGGGGAGCTGAGGGGGCTGAGGGAGCCGTAGGGGAGCTGAGGGGGCCGGGGGAGGCCTCGTTTGTAGCCGCTGGGGGGTGCGGAGGGGGCGCTGCCTGAGGGGGGCTTCGGTGTAAAGGCGGAGCTCTGAGGTGCGTGCCTCGCGGGGTCTGCTTCTGGGTGACTTCAGATGGTCTTTAAGAAAATAAAACGGAGATTTTGGTATAAATAGGCAGCTGAAAGCCTCGTAAATTGTCAGCAATCCGCAGCCGAAGCGCTGCTGGCTGAGGGGCCAGCTTCCACGCAGAGCTCCCTGTGAGAGGCACCACAGCGCGGCCTCTTGTCTTCCCCTCCCTTGCTTTTCCCTGCTGGTTTTCCAAGCCCCACACCGTGTCGTTCTGCGCACGTAGCACCCTGTCGACATGGCTGACGACAACGAGGACCTGCAGGCCGACGAGGAGCTCCCGGCACCGGCTGAGGACAGCTTCGAGCAGCTGGAGAACGACAGCCCCGCGGAGCGCAGCGGGCATGTGGCCGTCACCGATGGGCGCTGCATGTACGTCTGGGGAGGCTACAAGGTAGGTGGCCATCACCCACAGGCACTGCGTGTACGTTTGGGGGGCTACAAGGTACGTGGCCAGCACCCACAGGCACTGCATTTACGGCTGGGGGGCTGCAAGGTACGTGGCTGTCACCCACGGGTGCTGCATGTACATCTGGCGGGCTACAAGGTACGCCCCTGCTGCCTGTGGTGCTGGTAATTGGGTCCCGTTAGTTTGGAAATAAATCTGTAAAATTATCCCTCCTCTGGAGAAAAAAAAAACAAAAAACAAAGTTATTTAACAAATTAGAATACGGCATTTAAGAGGTTCGAGTTACTGAAATAATCATGAGCGTTAAATACAGATCTCGGCACACAGATAACTTCTGTGGGATGCTAAGTGTCGTTTGGCTTCCTTAACTCGTGCCCCTGTTGGAAGAGGAGGAAATGCTGTCTGATTTGAAGCGCGCACCATGCAAAATGGTGCTTTTATGTCCACCATTATCAGCACAGCTGTGTGGTGCACGATAACGAGCACAAGTTGGTTGTTTAGCATAAGAGGGGGGTGTAGAGCAAGTAGCACCAAGCTGTCCTACGATTTTGACAAGAATGAAAATTATTTGACAGCGATTTCAGTAGATAAACTAGCTCAAGATAAAGCTTTTGGTGAGTTCTGCATTTTGTGGAAGGGATGGGGGATATAAAAAGAAGACTTTGGCTCATTCATGCACCCTATCCTCTTTGGGATACAAACGGGAGGATTAGCTACTATTTGTGTCAGTGTCTGGCTCTGCTGGGAGTTTGTGTGGTCCCCAGCAGAAGCTAAAATGATCTAATACCTGCTCTTTGGGGCTGCTCTGCAGGTGAGAGGTACAGGACTACAGCAGGCATTGTTCCTGCAGATTAGACATCTGAGGGGTTTTAAACATTCGCAGGAGTCTAATTCAAGCATCCTTCTTTTGCTTTTGCTTTTTCTTTTCTGAACTGTTCTGCAGAATGCCCAAGTTAGGGGATTTTATGACTTCTATCTGCCTAGAGATGAAATCTGGATCTACAACATGGAAACTGGAAGATGGTACAGTAAACAATTAACTTAATAATTTTTGTGTTGTGGGAAGAAAGAGAGGAGTTCCTAAATTGGTACAGAAACCATGCTGAGGGTCTGTGAACAGAGGGAGAATTTCCTCATCTCTTTATTCCCACATATCAAACTGTTGCATAAATGTGTGCAGTGCTTCCAGGGTTGTTAGTTTTTGTTTGTTTGTTTTATTTGTTTTTGTTTGTTTTTCTGTGTGGAAAACAATTACGTGTTCACAGGGGTGAGATAGGTGAGGTGGGAGAGACAGCTCAGGCAGCCCATACAGGAAAATGTGATCAACAGCCCAAAGTTTTTTTGGGATATCTGGTATAGGACATAACACCTGGAAATTGTACTTGTACCACTCACTGGTGAAGAGTGCATTGAGGGTACCGTATGTTTTTGTTTCTTGTCCTTTTAAGGAGTTGTTTTTAAATATTGAAGCTGCAAAAGAAACTACTGTGTCTTCTTAGACCAGTAGGAACCTGGAAGTTGTGTGAAACCTGCATGCCTGATGGTACAAGAGAAGGCAAAATGATGCTCCAATTCTGTTCCTAGCTGGGGCCTTGCTCTGTGAGACCTGGCCCCCTCAGTGCTTTGCAGAAAATGCAGCTTCAGCACTGCTTGCAGTCACCAGAGTGGTTGAGGAGAGCCTTGAGCAGGGGGTGGAAGCTTTTCTTTGTGTTTACAAGCATTACAAAAAAAAAAAGTAGCAAAACAGAAAGCCTCAGTTTAGACAGGTGCAGCCTCTTTGCCTGGGGATCTTTCTGGGATATTGAACGTGAAAATCACTCCAAACTCCTGAACTGGGCAGACAGGATTCCTCCCCCAGAAAACACGTGCTAATTAAGGTGGCCTTTCCCCACGCCACCCCTTCATCAGACCTGCCTCGTGCTGTGAATTGTTAAAGTGCACAGGTCTGCAAAACTCCTAACTGAAGGGTCCGCAGGGACGTGTCGTAATGAGAAATGTACTGGTAGCGTTATAAAGTTCCACTGCAGAGAAAATTGTTGCTGTTTGGTTTGATCAGATGTAATATTTTAAACTGTGCTTCTAGGAAGAAGAGTAAAACAGAAGGAGATGTTCCCCCTTCCATGTCTGGAAGTTGTGCGGTGTGTGTAGACAGAGTGGTGTACCTGTTCGGAGGACATCACGCGCGGGGCAACACCAACAAGGTCAGTGGTTTCATAAACTCTTCCTCACAGAGAAGTTTCTGGTCGTTAGCTTCAGTCCCATTTCGTAGGAAACAGAAGTGGACTTTTCAGTTAATTAATTCCCATCCAAAACAAGAAATGGATCATAACAAATCACAAAAGCATTTTCTTCTGAATCACTGGACAGGTTGAATCCTGTTTCAGAGCTTAAATGTCAGTAACCAGAGATGCTGAACATGCATCTAATCACCGTGCCCTCCATGGCTTCTGCAGAGTAATATTTTCACCTCCTGGAAGCAGATGACCAGCTTTCTCATGCTGTCAGCAGCTTCCTCAGATGCGAGCTAATTGAAGCCATGTTCCTTTTGTGCTTGCCAGAGAGATTTTGACTAACAAAATATGGTGCTTAGCACTTGAATTATTTTTTTTTCCGTGCAAGTGATTGGCTGGCACGCTTTTATCAACCTAGTTTTTAGTTTCTCTGCAACAGGTCAGCTAACCTGAAATTTGGAAAACAAGTTAGCCTTCAGCTCTGCATCATTTCACATGGTGGTTGCACCCCTGTTGCTTTCCACCACCGAAGGAGCACCGTGACCTGTTACTTGCTTGGGTGGCGGTTGCTCTAGAGCAGCTCACCCCGTAAATTGTATTGCAGTGGTGCTTGAGAGTTTGCTTCCTCTGAAACCTGGGAATTTCCAGAGGTCACTGAAACAGTATCAGCAGGTGATTTGTAAATGCTTTGAAATGTTACTCACTCTTCTCTGGAGTACCTGAAAATATTTTGATGTTCTGAAAGTACGGTTTAAAGTAAATGGTTTCGGTCTCACTCTTAAATATAAACTGAAAGTAACCTGAAAGTAACCTGCTGCAATACTTGTAAACAGTCTGAACCAAACTAAATTTATAAAGTGTGAGTTGCTTCCTTCCTGCTGGGGGTATTCTGACACTTCAGACAGTTTTTATGTGTGCATGTAAAATCACACAACACACAGAGAAAGGATGAGGCAATAAAAACATTTATTTTTGATTTATTTTTTTAAATTCTGAGACAATTGCTATATTATGCACACCTTCATTTTATTCTGGTTCAGCTTCTGGATGGTACTGCTCAATGTTAATGGTCCTGTGACTTTTGTAAAAGAAAGTTTGGGGCTTAAGTCTGCAAAAAGACAAGGATCTTTAGATCCATATTTTGTTCCAAACGTTGTCAGTAGTCTGTGCAGCCAGGAAAAGAACTTTTATAGTGTTTCTGTACCAATACATGCTAATTAAAAATAATTATTTTAACATCAGTCAGACTTAAGCTTTAAGCTAACCGTGTGGGTAAAAACCAATCTTTTTATTTTCTACAGTTCTACATGTTAAATTCCAGATCCACGGACAAAGTGCTGCAGTGGGTCAGAGTAGAGTGTCAGGGGGTCCCCCCTTCATCAAAGGACAAACTTGGCGTTTGGGTTTACAAAAACAAGTAAGGCTCCAGCAACGAAGTCAGCACAGCTGTCCTTGCGTGTGTGTGTGCTTTAATCACTCTTAGCCTTGTCATTGTTGTGTCTTTTTGTTTAAACAAGGGCTGCAGAAAGATTTCTTGCCTGCAGCACATACGTGCTCCAGGAAGATGCTGGATTTGTTCCCCAGCCAGCCTTTTAAAGCTGCTCTGTCCTTTAACTGTTGATAAATGGAAAACCTCACTCCCAGTTTGGGTATGTGTAAGCTGCAAAGTATCTGGGTGAGTCACAATCCGAACTGTGGGCTCCTGACAGGCAAATCTTCCACGGTGCATTCTCAGTACACCCCTGCTTCCTCGTATCGCCGTTGTTCCCCTTGGCAGTTGCATCTGGATTTATTCTCCCAGAAGCCTGCTGTAGGATTCCTGTTACATACAGAAGGCAAACTTTTGGCCATGTCTTGTGGGGCAGCTTGTTCCTGATAGTCCAGGAGCAAGAAGCCATTTCAATCACAAGCCACATGTGACTTTCAGCACTGCACAAGCTTCATGCTGCGTGTTTTGTGCTGGTTGCGCAAAACCAGCATGCATGGGATGATCTGCTGGCGATGTTATCCGACTTAATATGCTGGAATGGTGTCCCAGAGATGCCTTTTGGCATCGCAAACCTTGGAAAAGATGAGGAGGACAAGGAGGAGGTGTCAGAGCCAGATGAGCTGACACGCAAAGCGTTGCCTTGCAGCCTCCCCCCGCTCTGTTAGTGCCATGCTAGTCCCTGCAGGGAGCTGCGGGATGAGATTGCTGCGGCCTCCTGGCGCTGGGGGCAGGCTGAGGAATGCCCCTGCTGTGGTGGCTTCCCCCTTCCACAGGTGCCCTGCACCCGGTGCTCAGCAGGCTGGGGGCAGAAAGGGATTGTCTGGGGGCAGGCAGGAGCTTTTGGCTCTCTCCTTGGGCTCAGGGCTGGCTTCTCAGGGGCTTTCCAGCTTCCAGAGAGCAGGACCCAAAAATCAGCAGGTGACAGCTCACATGGCCAGACCCGTGCCCTGCAGGAGGGCTGGAAGGGCTGCTCCCCACGGGGCAGGGCTCTGCAGGCTGTGAGCAGGCTCGTGGTGCTGCTGGGGCTGAGCTCTGCTGCGAGCAGGCAGTGGTTGGGGCTTCTACTTCTTGTTTTCAGCTGGCAGGGCTCTGAGGCTCAGCATCACGTCGTGCCGGGGCTCTGCAGGCTTTTACTTGCAACCTTTGCAGACCCAAACGTAACGTAAATCACACTTACAAGATGACAGGAAAGTAAGAGCAGCTGCAGGGGTGCTCCCAGGAGCTACTCTTCGGGCTTTGAAACAAAACAGGAGTGCAACGAGCAGTGTCTTGCCCCAGGAACCCGAAACCTTCGCAGGCAGCTCCAGTGGCTGTGGGTGCATTGTGCCTTGTGTGGCCGCCCTGCCCTGCCCAGCCCAGCACACGCAGGCAGCACAATTCCATCCCCATGCTTCTTCCAGGAGTGTCTGTGAGCATTTTGGGGTCAGGGCAGGGAGCTGCAGGCCTGGGAAGGGTGGAGGCAGGGCCCTTCAGGAGCAGACCCCGTAGCTGCCCCGTGGGAGCCCCGGTAACAAAGGCTGGAGCACAGTGAGCAGGCAGCGGGCCTGGCAGCTTCACAGTTGGAACCGGAGCCAAACTTGGAAGCCTGGGGCCTGGAAAACACCTACAGAGGGATTTACCGGGGGTGGTAGGGTTGATTAGGCAAGAAACAGGGCCCACACCTGGAAAACTTGCACTGTTGACATATGGGAAGCAATGAAGTCAAAGGGGCTTCCCTGGTTTTCCTGCCTTCTGTTTGAGCCCAGCCTTTACAGGGCTTTAATTGCTAGCACCAAATGGGATAATATTTCTAACAGACCTTGTTGTTTCTTTTCTTTCAGGCTAATATTTTTTGGAGGCTATGGCTATTTTCCTGAAGGGAAGCAACGAGGAACTTTCGAATTTGATGAAACCTCTTTTTGGGTAAGTTAACTTCTCCCACCTTTGTGCAATTCCTGTTTAACCTCTAATATTTCATTAGTGCTTATTAAATCTTGCTTCTTATTAAATATTATTCAATATTTTTAAAGAATTCAGGTCTTCCAAGAGGGTGGAATGACCACGTGCATGTTCTGGACACTGAAACTTTTACCTGGAGCCAGCCTATAACGACGGTAATTACTCTTACACCAGTTGTTTTAAGTTCCAGCTCTGTGTGCCATTTCTCTTCTTGTTTCCCCTGAAAATACACATGGCTCTCTTAGGCTGGGGTTCACTGATTTAACTTGGTTTAATTAGAAGAGGTTGCTGATAAAAGCGGCCTCGCTGCGGGGCGTTAGCAGAGGCTGTCCCAGCCCTGGTGGCTGTGTGCTGCAGATGTCCCAGTGCCTGCTGTGTGCTCAGCTAACCCGCAGGACAAAGCAGGCTTACCCGGTCGTATCCTGCCCGCTGCGGGGTCCCACCTCCAGCTGCCACCTCCCAGGCATTATTTTAGAGGATGTGGTTAACTGTACCCAAGCAAGAAGCATGTAAATTCACCCATATTTTTTTTTAATTTTATTTTTTCACTTTCCTGCTGTGCCCTGCAGCCTGGTTTATAGGTCACCAGCCTTTAACTGCCAAGTGAGCAGTCCTCTGGTGCTCTGTGATCCTGCCTCCTTCAGGGCATATAAACCAGTCCCCGAGTGTCAGGAGTTAAAGAGTTCCTTCTTTGTGGAAGGGCTCCCTGAAAGGCCTGGTGCTGGCTGGCGGGAGGACACGAGACGCGCCTCGCGGGGTCACGAGATGGGGCGCTGGAACAAGGGGACTGTGTGGAGCTGATCTGCTCGCTCTGGTGCTGTGAAGTTTGTTTTCACCTTGGATGATTCCTGATCTGCTGACTGGGAGCCGCTGTGTAGCTGTGGCTGGTGCTCTGCGCCTGCAGCGCCGCAGGCTGCTGCCGCTCTGCCTCCCCTCCTGCTCCTGAGACAGGCAGCCTGCCTGATCCAGCCCCGGGAGGAAACCAAGAGCTAAAGCTTAGGGCTCTGTGACCTGGGCTCTGCTCCCTTCTCACACTTCCCGAGCGAGCTGTCTTAATCCCCCGCACCTTGCTTATTTGCCAGCAAAATGTAGCTGTTAACTTACCTCCTCTGCATGGGTTCTGGGCGGTGTCAGCTCTGTTTGCAGCCTTCCTACAAGCTGTTTGTGGGAAAGGACTGCTAAGAGAAGGGTTTAAAACACTGTCAGCAGGACTTGCTTGGAAACATCCACGAAAAATAAAAGCTCCCTGCTTGCCTGCTCAGTGGCATTCCTGACACCGCTTAAACCAAATTTAAATAATTCGTTTCACAGAATCACAGAATGGGTCAGGTTGGAAAAGACCTTCATGGATCACCAAATCCAATGATCCTGACCTCCTGAGTCCCACCAATAAGCCCTGTCCCTCAGCATCTCTTAAATACCTCCGGGGTGGGGACCTGGACTGGGCAGCCCATTCTCTTCGTGCTTGGTGAAGAAATTCTGCCTCAAGTCCAGTCCAAACCTTCACTAGCCCAACTTGGCACAGTTATTGAATGCTTGTTTACATTATCCTGATCTTCTCCTCTCCAAAAACGAGAAACTTGCCTTTTGTTTTGCTTTTTTAATTTTTTTTTTTGTTCTTCATTATTTTTCCCGTTGGGTTGCTTTCTTTCATGCTTCAGTAGTGTTGTTCTCCTGGGGAGCTGAGGAAAACAAAATGTCTGGTTCCCTGTCATCCTCGCCGCAGTGTGACAGTTCGGTGGGTTCCGCTTGGGTGCTGGATCACAGGCAAAGCAAAACACGGTTATTGCAAACAGACCCCGTGTGAAGTGTCCCAGGAGGACTCAGGAACAGGCAGTTGGAGTGATGCTGCTACAGAACTGGAAGAAATCAAATTTGAGTTAAATAACTCCTTGCTCACATTACTGAAGAATTGCCTTGTCTTAGTGCAGAAGGATCTCAATTATGTCAGAAGAATAATTTACCAAAAAAAAAAAACAACTGATTCATTGTATCCCTGATTCATTGTATCACTGCCTTGTTTAGAGTCTGAGGTCCTCTGTGACTGTCTGAGCCCTCTTCTAAAAGTAAAATTTGTACTTTGAGGCATAAAAAGAAAAAAATATTTTTTAATGAGTTTTCTGATCTTCCATCCAGCAAAAAAAAGCAAGTTTCTGAATGCAAAATGACCTGCTGCATGTTTTTTCACTCCCTGTTCCTTGTTGACCTTAAGTCTGACTGTAGTTCAGCCTCTCACCTCCTTGGGTGGCTGACGTGTGGGAAACTGTCTCTGTGCGAGCTCCTCCCTTTCCTTGACCCACTGCAGGTTTCTATTGCACTGACATCGCCTTTCTTTTGTTATTGTACCAAATTTAACCTCCTCCTTTCACTTTTTCTGTCCCCAGGGTAAAACTCCATCCCCGCGAGCAGCCCATGCCTGTGCTACAGTTGGGAACAGAGGCTTCGTGTTCGGTGGCAGATACAGAGTAAGTCCCAGCACGATTTACCAGTGCGCTGCTGGAGCACAGATGGAGAATTTCAACCTCAGTCTGCTTTATTGTAGGAGTCCCGAATGAACGACCTTTACTACCTGAACTTGGATACGTGGGAGTGGAATGAAATGTAGGTACTAAAACTCGAGTTCTTTTATAAAGCAATATGAAGACGTCATTTTTATCTACTTCTAATCAATCCAATGAAACTTAGCGAACGCCCCTGTGTGTAAACTCAAGTGGAGTTGAGCCTCCAGACTTTGCTGTAAGCAGTTTCCAAGTACTGATAGGAGCAAAACTCTTTTACCGTGTCTAAAGCAATAAACTCTCTGGTGGGTCATGAACTGTGCACAGTATGAAGTTGCATAGCTCAAATACCTGAAAAACAATGAACAGGAAAGAAGAGCAGCGTTTTACCGTAGCCCTTCTGTAATTTATGGTGCTTTTATTGCAATACAGAATCACGCAAGGCATTTGCCCGGTCGGCCGATCCTGGCATTCTTTAACACCAATTTCCTCAGATCATCTCTTTCTCTTTGGAGGATTCACCACAGACAAGCAGCCATTAAGTAAGTCATTCCAGAAGGATTTTGTGTTGTCTTTCTGTTCTTGAATAGTTATGCACAGGCCTGAGTTATTGCCTAGTCACCGTAAATTCTTTTCACATTCCTTCCACGTACTTGTGATCCAGCTCCTTATGGTCACCAGCTAAACTGGCAGAGTAGGAGTCGCTGAGTGTGTTGAGACTCTGCTATTTGTGGCACTTCGGCTGCTCTAAAAATGTGTCTAATGCAAATTGCAATTAGTAAGAGCTTTACAGTTCTCCATCTTTCCCTCCTGACTTCACTCCTATAAACCACTGTTAAACTCTTGTTTTGAAATAGCCAACCCAAAATTGTGTAGGGTTTTACCTGAAAAACTTAATTTAGACTGTGTTATACCAAAGCACATGTTTACTGCAGCAAACGTGAGAGACCTGATATAATACTGTTTGTATTTGCGGTTCTGCTTGTTTCCAGGTGATGCTTGGATTTATTGTATCAGCAAGAATGAGTGGGTACAGTTTGAGCATAACTATTCTGAAAAACCAAGGTACGATACACACTTTCTTGGAAACGAACACGAAAAAAAAGTGAGGAAGCTTTTCACTTGGGCTGTGAGAGAGAGGATTCACATCCCTCCTCACAGCACTTGGCTGTCTTAACCATACAATACCTTGTAGCAGCAGTTCCTGCCCCAGGAACGCTGATGTGCTGAATCTGTGCACAAAATGGGAGATTAACACCACCCTATGAGTGGTGTGGGAGGCAGCGTGTAGCTCAGAGCCTTGTGAAACAGCCAGAAACACGGGGATTTGGGGCTTGGTGTGCTCTGGCTGAGCTCTGAGCACCAGCACAAGAGCTGAGCAGCACCCGTGTGCTCCTGCTGGGCCACCAAGCACACGCTGCTTTGCGCGTCCTCGCTGTGGTTGGCCCTGTGCACACCCAGAATGTTTTTGTCTTCCGTAAAGACCTGCTGGGCAAATTAAAGGTGATGACCAGCAATTTAAAAGCATCAAAGCTACCGTGATGCATGCGTGTGGCATCAAAACCACCCGTGTCAAGTTAATGTGCTCCCTCTTGTCTGGGGAAATACTTTGGTTTGAGGTTAAATGACCGGGAGCAGTGGCACTTCCCACTCAGCCCCACTGAGCATAAACTGAGCTGCTCAGCTCTGCAGCGCGGTGGCGGAAAGGCAGCCTGGCAGCTGGCACCTCCACGTACAAATCCCAAACACGGGCTTTTGGGTGGGGCTGGGTTTTTGTGTAACGCAGCGCTCTTGTTGGCAGGTTGTGGCACACCGCCTGTGCGAGCGAGGAGGGAGAGGTGATCGTCTTTGGGGGCTGTGCCAACAACCTACTTGCCCATTCGAAAGCCGTAAGTTTATGTCAAGCTTTTTCCCTTCCTGTGCAGCCCAGCCCTTCCTGCAGGAGCTGTGATTTCTTAGCGCTCCCGCAGGTTTGAAATGCTCGCAGGCAGCAGCGCGAGGTACCGAGGCCTGGCAGAGGTGCATAAACAAAGCTCTGAGGGGAAATGTTTTGCTGCTTTTCTAGAAAACGTCGTTATTCAAACAAACCGTGACTGGCTGTCCCTCACGCTTGTGTTTCACTTGGAGCCTGTTCTTATCCCATAGCTGTTTCTTTAGCTTTGTCCTGTGCCTCTCACCAGGATGTTGTTTTCAGGGAGGGCTGCTGAGAACAGGCTGGACATTGAGGGGCTCTCCAGCTGGAACAGGGGAGCGCTGGGGGCTGTAAAATCCCCCCCTTGGCTGGAAGGGGCACAGCAGCACCTTCTGGTGGCAGAAGCCGTGGGCAGCAGGTGGCAAACAGGAGTGGTGCAATTCGTGGTGCTCTGTGCCACGGGGTGCTGGCAGGATGGGAGCAGACATGGAATCATTTAACAACACGCCCCTGTTCCCCTTCAGCTCTTTGTATAAAATGGCCCTTAGGATGGTTTTTAACCCAGCTGTAGTTCCCTGAGTGCTGACAACTACAGGCGCTGTAGGATTGGGTGAGCAAGTTCATCATCAGCTTGTCTGCTGCCTCTGTGGCTTACGTGAACTCTCGCTGCTTGCCAGGGTTCCTTTGTGCATGAGCCTTGGCTTTTTTGGCTCCTGCTGTAATAACGTGAATCCACATCATCAAACTGCTCCTCTCTCCCTCCAGGCTCACAGTAATGAAATTCTCGTGTTTTCGCTACAGCCAAGATCTCTTGTAAGGTAAGAAGGCAAGGCTTCAGCACTGAACAGTTGTGTCCCCTTCTAAACCAACCAGTGCAGGACTAGTGCTAGAGCTGGTTCTTAGGGTGCTAAAATACTTGAAAACATTTCTTCCCCTAAAGATGAAACCACAGTAGCCAAGTATGAAGCTAGAGTGAGATTCAGGTGTATGCATTCAGGGCTGAAGATGAGAACAAGCCCTAACTCACTAGCTGTAAATAATTAGCTTAGTTTGCAGGCCTTGTTCAAATCCATGTTAACAACAGCTGCCTATTCCTTCTCCCCAAGGCTGTGCCTCGAAGCAGTCATTTGCTTTAAGGAGATGTTGGCCAGCTCCTGGAATTGCCTCCCCAAGCACTTGCTGCACAGCGTCAATCAGCGGTTTGGAAGCAACAACACCTCAGGCTCCTAAGCCCTCTGCACTGGCAGTGCGTGGATGAGCAATCCTGAGCTGTAGTAACTGTACCGAGTGTGGCAAGCGTTAACCCTGTATAGATGACATAGCTGTCCTGTAGGTAGCTGCTTCCTGCCTTTAAGTTGCATGTGAATGGCCTAGAGAGAACCTATTTTTGTGTAAAGATGTTTGCAATAAATGTATTTAATGCAAGTGGAGGTGTATCCTGTGCTTAAGCTTCAGCTAGTTCTGGGTTTGTCCACCTTGAAGTGTTTGTGAGGGCCAGCCCCAAGCAGGGAGAGGAGGTGTGCATGCGTAGGGATATTTTTGGGGCTGTGCAGGCAGTACAGAGGCACACCACGGCCGTGGAAGGGGAGTGTGGCTTTAGTCTAGGCTGAGGAGTGCCGTGATGGGCGAGGCCCGTTTTAGTCTACAGCATTAGGAAAGTGCTTAACATACTTTTTGCCACAACCAGTCAAGGTCAGAGAACCAGGATTTGAGAATTGTCCATTATCGGAGTTGGTAAACTGTTGTAAACCTTCAGATGTTAAAGCACCACTACTCTGCTTGTTCCTAGTTTGTTTTTTGAAACTCTTTATGTTGTGAAACTTCAATTGTGAACCTTAGGTAGCAGATATTCTGCCCTGAGAAGTGTAACTAAAAGTGCTTGAGCCTGTTGTCAGCTGTGTCAGTAACCCGTGGAGCTCACCTGCAGCAGGGTGCAGGGCCACTGCGAGCAGCTCTGCGAGGTCAGTGCCTGCCCCTGGCAGCTCGGGTCTGTCTGTCAGCAGCCCCAGCAGGGGACAGCTGGGACAAGGAGCAGGCTGTGCTGCTGTGGGGAAGGGGTTAAATCATGTTTTCAACTGTCCTCAAAAAAAAAAAAATCAATAAACAACTGACTTCTAGAACAAACAATTCCTGTACTGGAGTTCTGTGCTGATTTCTTGTGTAAGCTTTAGCTGCAGCTTCAGGAAGCGCTGAGGGCGGTGCAGACAAGCACCAAGATGCACTTTGAGAGCTTTGGGGGATGCTGATACAGCAAACGCAGCGTTGTTTTGACCCAGGCTCCAGCTCTTCCCTGCGTGCTGCTCTCCTGCAGGGGTGAGAATTACACAGCACAGTGAGGCTGCGCTGCTGGGAGCAGGGAAATGGCTACAGCTGGAACTGGGCTTATCTCCTGGCAGCTGAGGGTATGTTAGGGGAAAAAACGTGCTTCTGTCTTTCCTCAAGTAAAGCGCTCTGCCCTGAACCACTCCTGCTTCCACTAGGACCCCCAGTCCAGATTAGGAAGAAACAGAAGAGCAATGCTGTAAGTTAGGAGTAAATTAAGGGCTGCCTTTGCCCGCAGCTATAGGGAAAGAACACTGAGCTCCCAAATTCAAAGCACAAGAGAAGAGACACCTCGGCAGCACGGCACTGACCCAACGCCAGCAATTTACTCGCACATTTCTCTGCTGTTTATCTCAGTGAGCTGTCAGAGTCCATCCAGCTCCCAGTGGAGGAACTGGTCCACGTCTCACTGCCACGGAAGCTGAATTCAGTCAGGGGAACAGCGCTCAGGCCGGGGCTGGCTCTTCCCAGGCTGAAGGTGCAGCTCCTGACTGCACAGCACCGGTTGGGGGGCGACACCTCCAGCCCCAGGTCACTTTTCTTCCTGTTCAGCAGGTTGGGTGCGGATACCTTCACTTTACCAGGAATATTTCTTGACAAGTCAGTATCCTACACAACAAAGATGAGGAATTGAGCGTAACAGCAGTGCTTTTACAAATACCTTCCTCACCCCTGCGAGCGTTTCTGAGGCCAGTGGCACGGACTGATGTGCCCGTTTCTGCTGCCTTTCCCCTCAGAATACAGGGCTGACGTCAGGCTTCTGGTCTCTGCCCCCAGTTTATTAATGGGAAACTTTTAATGGGTTTCCACGCAGCTTCCACCCCTCGGCTCCATTAAGATGGGGGGGCTGAGTCAGCAAGTCCCTGGACACTGCCTCAAGGTCATTAACCATTAATTGTGGTTTTTCTAGCAGAGTTCCATGACCAGTCAGCGTTAGGGCTGCTGCTTTTCAGTATTTCCCATCAGTAAAACATTAAAGGACCAAGCAGCTGTCACAGAACAGCCCGGGCTGTCCAGCAACCTGCAGGCATGGCCGAGAAACCTGCCCCTAGGGACTGAGAGCCAGGAGGGGCAGTGTCAAGGGGCAGGGGCAGTGGCTGGAAGAGCCTCCCCCCCAAAAAAAAAAGCAGTAACTTTTTTTGAAGCATTTACCCCCCAAATTGGCACCAGTGGACATTTTTCTGCTGCTCTTAGACTCATAAAAGATAAAGTATGTAAAGAAAGTCACCTTGACGCTACGGAACAGATCCTTTTCTCTTGCAGTAGCTTCTTTGGACTGCATAAAATTATGCAGGGCGATCTTTGCAGCTGTAAAACCACGGGAAAGACTTAAAACTCTACAAACATTCTGGTTTCGACAGGTAAAGCACCGAGAAGGATGGAACTGCTTTGAATCATTACCTTTTCCTTTCTTTTGGGTGCCTGGCGTGAGCTTGACTTTGTACCTTTGAAAAGAAGAGGGCTCTGTGAGTCGGACAGCAGGCGCCCCTCTGTTGGACCTTTCCCCCAGGAGGCGCCGCGACTCACTTGTAGTTTGTCATCGCGGTGTAGGGAGCGCAGATGGGCACGGCGAAGAGCAGAATGTCCTCGGGGTGCGGCTGCCCGGTCAGGGAGTCCAGCAAAGCCACGGCCTCCTGCAGGGGCAAAGAACTTCTGGGGAAGCGGGGCAGGGAGCAGCACTGGCACCCGAACCCACCTCTGTCACTGGTGTGGCTGCAGGGTCGCCCCTTCCAGCTCAGCTACCAGCTGGAATTGCCCCATCACAGCTACGGGGCTGCCAGGATGTACTGAATTTAGGTTTATCACCTTCACTGGTAATTAATTACCAAGCCATGGCTCATTACTGACCAGCTTTGATTGCTAGTATCACATCTTAGTGATCTTAGCTTAAAATGGCCTAAAGGGGGCCCCCAAATGCAGTTACATCTTCACAAGGTCACCAAAAGCTTCCCCCTACAGCCAACCGTTACCCTCCTCAGTTAAAACATTTAAAGAACTGAACTTATTTCCAGCCTTGGGCAACACGCCCAGCCTGTAATTACAGAGCACTCTGAAACAATTTTACACTTAAACAACCTCCTAACCCCGACCTCACGCTGTGTCCTCCAGCCCAGAGCCACCCTGCTGGGGGTGCAAAAGGTCAGAGGTAAAGACGGGGGACGAGCTCCAGTTCCTCCAGTCCCTAATTTCCATAAGGGATGCGCGCAATGAGCAGTGTGAGAAATAAAAAGATAGAAGCAAGCTGGGTTCCAGACGTTTTGGGCACAAAGGGGACTTAAATCAGCAGAACCAAACCCTTCTGAGGAGCTCAGGGTGGGAGCCTCGGTGCCAGCCGCAGCCTGCAGGGCTCCAGGCGTGTCCCTAGAGCAGGGCCCCTTCAGCTTCCAGCAGGACCAAGCCCCCTCCTCAGCACGTACGGGAGGTTCAGACGAGAGCGTTTACCTCAACTCCTGGCTGATCCTGCTCCTGGTCATCCTGTATACACAGAAAAGGAGACATCAGAGCTGAAATGAGCACACAACTGCTTTTTTCTCCCCAAGTCCCCGGAGAAAATAAATTCTTTTAGCAGCAGGACACAGAAAGCCAAATTTCCACCGCAAAGACAGCTCAACTCGTTTGAAAGTGAAGGTAGAAAGAGCGGTTTCGTGTAGGTGGGGGAGGACGATTTCCTTCAAAACTCTCATTAGCTTGGCACATGCCAAACTGGGAGGAGAGAGCTGGGCTGTGATTCAGATCCTGACTCACAGCAACAGATCGGGAGAGCTCAGGGACACTTCTGCTGCACCGAGTGGGAGGATCGATTTCTGTGGATCCTCAGCAGCCTGGTGAGCTGCTCCCGAGGCCTCGTTTCGGCTGTGCTGGGAACTCAGCACACACACAGACTGCTGCAGGGTTTTGTGCTGCTGCCTGAAACCGACAGGCTCCCAGAGGGATGGCATCAGGCACGCTGTTCTCCATCAGTGCCCAAAAGCAGCGAGAGCTGCACCATGCAGCACCAGGAGGGTCATGAGAGTGGGTGAAAAACAGCAGACACACGAGGAGAGGCCAGCACGCCGCTCACCTTCTCGTCCTGCTGCTCCTCCAGGGCTGGGTCCTGGGACTCATGCAGCAGGACTCCTCCTGGGAGCACCTCCTTGCCACCGCCAGCACTGCGATGTCCAGACTTGGGTTTCTGCTGTTGCTTTTTCACTGTACTTTCTTTCGTCTTCCCCTTTTTCCCTTTTTTCCCCTTTTCCTCCTTGTTTGAGCCTGCAGACTGCGGTTGCACACAAGAGGTGGTTGGAGCCGGCGCCCTGAGCGCACCAAGGGGGAACAGAGCTCCCCTCACTCACCCCCAGCAGCTTCATGATGAGCTCCCGGTCCTCCTCGTCCTGGTCCTTGTACTTCTCCTTCATCTTCTTCATTTTACTCTGGAGAAGAAAACACAACAATTTTAGAAACGATGACTTCTGCAGGGCTTTGTAGCCACCCAGAACCAGACGCTGACCCCAACAAGCGTGCTCCTTCCAGGTCTCCCAAAGCTCTTTCAGAGCAATCCCTAGCAACTGAGTTTCACCAAGAGTCTGTAGTTCTCAGGCAGCCAGGGACCACACAGAGAAACCCAGAACTTCTCCCTGTGCGGGAGATGAGCCTACACTTCACGTGGTAACAGCTCAGCTCGGGGGCAGTGCAGCTCCCTGCCTACCTTCTGGCCCCGCTTGATGGGCTGAGGGGCTGGCACACCCTTGGTGGCGTTGGGAGCAGGGGGACGCTGCGGCTCCGGCTCCTTCTGCTTCTCCTCGGGTGGCTCCACGTTCTCGGAGTCATTCTGCTGCTTTTTCTTCTTCATTTCTCTAAAGAGAACAAGGACAGGAGCACCCCGGGGTGACGGCGCCTCGCTGAGCCCCCTTCCTCCTCCCAGCTCCTGCTCTCCCACCAGTGCTGGTGAGTCAGCCGGAGCAGGCTGCTCTCCACGGGGGGAACCCACACTTGGAGAAGAACATTTCACAGCCTCCTCCTCAGAGACGGCAGCAACGCCAAGCTGAAAAGCTTCCCTCTTGTTCAGGCTCTCCGTAGGGAGGCTTTAGCTGCTGGAGCAGGAACCCCCACATGCAAACAGTCATCTTCAAAACTTCCCACCCCCCCCAGCTGCTGGCTGACCACTGACAGCTCTGACAGCTGCGGGTTTCCAGGTTTCCTGGTGACAAAGACCAGGCTGACCCCACATCCCACTCACAGGGAGGAGGAAACGAGGAGGAGGCGTTCACCTCACCCCAAACACTGAGGCTCTCACCTCCTCTCCTTGGCAGAGAGATGCCTTCGCCCCTGGGACTTGCTGTCACTCTAAGAAGGGAAACACAATTAGAGCCTACCACGTCCAGCAGCAGCTGATGCTTTTGCCATACGCCTGGACTGGGGCCTTACCAAGCTGGGTTCTTCCTCTTTGGGGACAATTTTCTGCAGGGATCTGTGGGGAGATCAAAACGGAGCTGGTCAGTGGATGAGGAGCAGCTCAACCCTGCAGGCACCACCACCAGCCAGCCTGGGCACATTGCTTTCAGCTTTCTAGATCTTAAAACTTCCAGAAAAAGGGCAGCGATGCTGGGATGCAGCTTACAAACAAGCCCTCAGATCCCTGCCAGCTTGCCTCGAAGCACACACACAGCACAGGCAAAGAGCTCCCTGTGCGCACAGCCCAGATGGGCCACGGCATTCCCTGGGAGAGCTGCCCGCTTCCACCCACCCCATCGTTTTGCCTTCCATCCTCTGAGGAGTTCCATTTCCAGAGGCACGTGGAGATGAGCTCATCTCACAGCCACACGCAG